TAGGCTTGGCAACGACACCCGAATTCCGGATACCCGCCCGGACCCGTCTGATTTTTTGGCGGTGAAAATCCGTTTGACCGGATAGTTGACGGGTTTCGGGGGACCCGATACCCGCTATAGCATGTTGACGGACGGTGATGGGTTTGCTGGTATCCGCTCCGGCAGCACCCGATACCCGCCACTTAACGAAATAGCCACCCCATTCCAATTTATTTCGCTGACCGCCACCACTGACTTCATAGCATCTACATCCTGGAAGATGAATTTTGGCCCACGCAGGCAGAGGAAGAGGGATGTGGTGATGAAAAAGCAACCGCCACCAATCCGCCATGGCCGCCGTCGCACCTCTATCGCCGCCAATCCCAACTCCCACTTCCCTCACCGACCTGCCGCAGTCCGATTCCACCACCCCATTCTCCCACACGTTCTTCTCCCGCATCCCGCTGGCTACCCCGGCTGACGTCCCCCACATCCACAAGCTCTTTAATCGAATGACAGTCTTCGAGAAGCTCACCCAACTGAAGCATTTCGGGTATTTAATTGGGGCCGGGTAAATCCGATACCCGTCCGGGCTCGGGGGTGGTATGAATTTGACATCCGAGAAGGCACTTCGGGCGGGTTCGGGGATTACCCGATATGCAATCGGGTGGGTAATGGATAGTGGGAAACCGTCCCCGATCCGCCCCGTTGCCATGCCTATACTCAGTATATGCTTTATGTATGTATGATCCGTATGAAGGCGGAATCTGGAGTTAGTTTCACAAAAATACATCATTATATAGGGTGCCTTCTACGGTACCCCGGTGAGATTCGGGTACCTATTATTTTGAGTAGGAAAACGTTATTTAGACCTCGAATTATCAGGATTTTTGGGTTTGATACTATACCATAATCCTTAATGAGTGAACCCTAGTATCTAATTATCTAAATCATAAACTATAAACCCTAAGATGGTGCATTGATTTTTTTGCGTATATTTGGACGAATCATAACCGTTGATTATTGTTTCTAATTAAATTGATCTTGGGGCATAAGATTTTAGAGAATTAAGACCTAGATTTTGATCTTTAAAGGTTAGAGTATAGTATCATGTGCGAAAGATCAGTCAATTCAAGTTCTAGATAGCGTTTTCTTACTCAAGGTATGCGGTACCTTGAATTTCACCCGGGGTACCGTAGAAGGCACCCATTATATAGATATATATCCCCCTCCCCCGATTTACATACATATTTTGCTCCTTGTCTTTTTATAAATTTTCGACCATTCATCTTGAAAATGTGATATTCTTTTTCCCTTTTACGATATGTGGTGTTGTTTTGTCCTATTTCAAGTCATATCATATGGAGAAAGCTTGTGAGCGAGTTTCGGAATATTTGAAGGCTAAAACGGGATCAAGGAGAGCCGAGGGGCAATGTCACGACCAATGGAGGCATTATCACTATTCAGGTTGTGACTTCCCACTCCATACAGTGAGATTAAGAATGAAGGCACAAGCACATTTTAACGTTTCGGGTTGAACTTCAAATGTCATAGGTGTAACTTATTAAGTCACGACTGTGACTTCCCTTTGAAGTTAGGGGTGTATATGGGTCGGGTGGTTAGGGTTTAGTTATTTTAATCACCCGATCCATGCACTACGATTTGGGAAATATCAAACCCAAATCCACCCAAAAATATTTAAACCCCACGGTTTGTTTCTAATTGGGTTGGGTCGGGTTGGCGATATTTTTCAGTAAAAGCTCAACCCAACATAAAATATATAATTATTCTACATCATAAAAATATTTTATAACTAATTAAAATTTCAAACGAATGAACCAAGGTGAAAGGTATGAAAATTCACAAATGTTGTTTAAATTTTAATAAAATGTAATTTACTTCAACATATGTCTTGTTTTTTCATGATATTTGTTGAAATAGGCTAAAAATGTTATAAACAAACACATCCATCATATGTTATTCTATTAAAATTGTACACAAGAAAAAGGATTACGTGAATCATAACTATATTCAATTTATGTCTAAACTTTAAGTCGAAGAATGCATTAGATTAGGGAGACCATGAGAGAAAAACATGGCGAAATATCTTAATTTTCTCATAAGTATATGACTATATAGTACATAAATATTTTTTAGATTCGAACTCATACTAATAGTTGGAACACGGGTTGGGTCGGGTTCTACGGGTTGTGTAATCCAAAATCCAAACCCAACCCAAAAGAGGCGGGTTGTGCAAAAGAAAACCCTCACCCAACCCAAAACCTTCGTTTTAGCGATAAATACGGGTGGGTTGGGTCGGGTTGGACAGGTGGGTCGGTTTCCGGGTGTGTTTGTTCACCCCTACTTGAAGTCCTAACTTAAACATGACATTTTGGATGCCACAGCCATGAATTTGACCGTGATATTGCCTCTGTCCCGGGTATAAGTGGGCAGCTGTGAATTTCGAAAGAGGAGAGCCGTTTTTTTAGATAACAAGCATCAAAAGGAGGAATCCTAGAGAGAGAAAGCAAATTGGGAACATTTTTAAAGCTATTTTGAAGAATTATCGGAAGAAGAATCTCATCACCAAAAGTAAGTTTTTCATCTTCTCTTATGTATTTCCTTCTCCATCTATGGACTAACTTCCCTTCACTTGAGGGTTGAGGAATCTTAGTTATGTTTGTTTGGTGTTACGATTGTATGACTATGACTTGTTATACTATAGTTTATATTCAATCTATGCATGTTTTATGGATCAATTATGTTTTAATCGATATTATTGATTTATACTTTTATCGATAATACATAATTACGTTAATAAAGCAACATCGTTTGGAAGTAGGAGATCGATTGTGCGAGAGTGAGGCGATCCATTGCTTTGTATTGGGTGAGAATCTTACTCAATAGTCAACAGAGGGTGTCTAGTGTGAATTGCCTATGTATTTTGTCTTAATCGAGGATGGTGTCCCTTTAAGCAGTCTATTCAAGAGCGACTTGTCTGCTTTAATTGAGATTCCAATATTGTTATGAACTTTATGAATTATTGAATAGTGAAATAAGCTAGAGAATCGTTAATAATTAATCTAGTTAGTGGTTAGGGAGATTCATTACCTGAGTGAGCCTACTGCTTTGTAATTAGTAAGTTTAGACTTTTCTTTATTTGTTAGAGTAGTTTAATCATTTTATAAACCTGTACGGTCTAGATAATAAACTGAATATGAGTAATAGTACATCTAGATACGTGTGGATTCGATACTTATTACTTGTTGTCGGTCTTTTGTTTCACTTGGCATTGACTGAAGTGTAGTTTGTAACGATCGCAATATTATCTAGTCAATAAATCAATAAGTACGAATGACACAGATTAATCATAATATAATTTTCTTTAATTTTGTCTTCAACATTCATGTCAACTTGTGGCACTTATACACCGATCATTTATCTAACAATCTCAATACAAGCATACACATGAGCTTTTGCTAAAATATTTTGTTAAAATTAGCGCTAAAATTTGATAAAAAAAATCATCAAAATACTTTGAGTTTTTTTGTGTGGGTAAGATGTGAAAATATAATTTTCTTTAAGTACGAATGACACAGATTAATCATAATATAATTTTCTTTAATTTTGTCTTCAACATTCATGTCAACTTGTGGCACTTATACACCGATCATTTATCTAACAATCTCAATACAAGCATACACATGAGCTTTTGCTAAAATATTTTGTTAAAATTAGCGCTAAAATTTGATAAAAAAAATCATCAAAATACTTTGAGTTTTTTTGTGTGGGTAAGATGTGAAAATTATTTGACTTGAGCTAATGGCTCAATTAATTAGTCGAATGCTTATGAAATCGGAGTTTACCTCCAGTCCAGCAGCCTCACGGTCACGGGGGGACAAAAAAAGAAAAAAAGAACAACTAAGCGAAGACGGGAAAGAGAAAGAGAGCGAGAGAGAGAGAAACAGACAAAACCAAACCAGAAAGATAAATTGAGGGGTCGGATACTATGCTAACCCCTAAAGGGGTAGTGGTTTTTGACACCCTCCTCTTAATTGGTCACTTTTCCATTTAAGCTTTTTACTTTATTTATTGTAATCTTGTAAATTGGGAAAGCCTTAATTGTGATAATAATTATGAATGGGGAAGGAGAAAAACGTTGGTAATTATGAATGGGGAAGGATCTGGGGAAAAACGAAATCACCCCCATTAATTACATAATTAATTTCTCTCACTGGTACATTAATTACACGTACCACTCCACTGGTACACGTACCACTCCACTGGTACACGTACCAGTGGAGTGGTACGTGTACCAGTGGAGTGGTACGTGTACCAGTGGAGTGGTACGTGTAACCATATGTCCTGTTTAGGCTTAAAAAATTGTGAAGACTTTATGTTTATTCACATTCGAAGGATAATTTATTGCTTTTGGCATTGTTGTTGGCATTTCCCTAATTTTGCAACCCATTTTGGAACACAGTTTTTGGCTACTAATGGAAAGTTCCTATTTTTTCCCTATTATTGTTTATCATTGTTATGAAAAATATCATTGCACTGGTATTGTTCTCACTCTAACCTACCTTGTGGATTGCTCGCACCAGTGGAGTGGTACGTGTACCATTGGAGTGGTACGTGTACCAGTGGAGTGGTACGTGTACCAGTGGAGTGGTACGTGTAATTAATGTACCAGTGAGAGAAATTAATTATGTAATTAATGGGGGTGATTTCGTTTTTCCCCAGATTCTTTCTCTTTTCCAATGTGGTGAGAGACCCCAAATTACAAGATTAAAAAAAATAAAAAATCAGTTTAATTAATACTTGCCAATGATTGGAAATAAAATTGGCCAATCATAAAGGGGGTGTCAAAAATCACTACCCTTTAGCGGGGTGTCAAGATTAAAAAAAAATAAAAAATCAGTTTAATTAATACTTGCCAATGATTGGAAATAAAATTGGCCAATCATAAAGGGGGTGTCAAAAATCACTACCCTTTAGCGGTAGTCACGCTAACCGATCCCATAAATTGATGGTGTATTCTGCACAATTCGCCTCGCTTTTCCGTTTCTCCCCCAATAGCTTCTTTTCTCTCCTTCCTCTTCCGCCGCTCTCAAACAATTCGTCGGTCCGCCATTTTTCCAGAGCAGTGCAGAGCGGAAAGAAGAAGCGAAAAGCTGTACGGATTCAATGAACCGTCGCCTCCCTTCATTTTCACTCCCTGGCTGGTTCTCCACAACACCGCTGCTCCGTTCATAGTTACGACGATCTCAGCTCCAGACGAATTACCCAGCTCCTTCTCGCCCTTCACTTCCTCATGGATACGCCTACGCCGCCGGCGGAAGAGCTTCTCCGGAAGATTCAGGAGCTGGAAGCCGGACAAGCTGAGCTTCAACAGGAGTTGACGAAGCTTAAGCTCACTTCCGATTCGAAATCCGAGAATCTTCTCCTTCACCACCAACAGCAGCATCAGCAACAGCACCACCACCACCATCACCACCACCATCCTCGGTCCCAGTCAATCTCGCCTCAGCGTCCAGGGACTAGCCGGAGCTTCGAGACGGCTGCGTCTATGAAGAAGACCTCGCCGCCGTTTAGGCATTTGTCTCCCTTACAGAGAGAGTCTCCCCGTCCGAGCAGCGGTTCGGATAGGAGTAATGTCGACGGAGATGGCGGCGTCTGCCGAGCGAGTGCCGGTCCGTCGGCTATTAAGTTTACTGATAAGCAGTACTTGAACATCTTGCAGTCCATGGGGCAGTCCGTTCATATTTTCGAACCTTCCGGCCGTCTTATCTACTGGTCAAAACTGACTCTTAACCTTTATAGTTTCCATTTTGTTTCTAATCTCTCTTGATTTGAAGCTCGTTTTCTTCGACGGCGATTCGGATTGTACTTCTGGTGGTGATGGCGGCTGACTCTATCGGATTTGATTTGGCGTATACGATCAAATTTGTTGCAGGAATCGAAGTGCTGAAAACCTATTTGGCTGGACTGCGGCGGAAGCTCTAGGTCAGGACAACATTGACCTGCTTGTTGATCCCAGGGATGGCAAGATAGCGCAAACGATTATTGATCGCAACGGTCTAGGAGAGAGCTGGACAGGACAGTTCCCTGTGAAGAACAAGAGGGGTGATAGGTTTACAATTGCGGCCACCAATACCCCTTTCTACGACGACAATGGTGATTTGATTGGGATTATATGTGTATCAAGCGATTCACGGCCATTCAAAGAAGCGTTCGTCGATTTATCTGGTCAGAAGAGTTTAGAAGCAGACTCGAGTTCTAGCCGTGTTTTTGGTAGAAGCAGCAGCAGTGTGTCGGCCAAGCTTGGTCTTGATTCCCAACAGCCTCTGCAAGCAGCAATTGCGTCTAAGATTTCAAACTTGGTTAGTTTTTAATAGTGTTATGCTTTCAACATTTGGGTATGCAGTTTGCATGTATTTATATTGTTGGCCTCGAATCAGGCTACCAAAGTGAGCAACAAGGTGAAGTCGAAGATTCGAACTGGAGAGAACAATGTTGATCATCGTGAAGGTGGTAGTGGAGAGAGTCATCATTCTGATCATGGTCATGGCTTCCCGGATGTAGTGGCAGACCAGAGGGATGATGCAAACTCTAGTGGTGCTAGTACTCCCAGGGCCAGTACACCCAGGGGAGATTTTCATCCATCCCCTTTCGTTGTTTCACCTTATGGTGATGAGGGTGAAGGGAAACCTGCAATCCACAAGGTTATCACTTCGAAGGCAGAGGCTTGGATGGGTAAAAAAGGGCTGTCATGGCCATGGAAAGGGAATGAAAGGGAAGTTTCAGAGTCAAGAACTACCAAATTTGTTTGGCCTTGGTTGCAGAATGAGCAAGAGGGTGAACCAAATTCTCCGAAGAGTCCCTCTTATGGTGGTACCAAAACTGAGAGTTACTTTAGTGAAGCTAATAATCGGCATGGCATTAGTGAGGCATCTGGATTGTGGTCATCCTCTGCAAATGTTAACAGCACGAGCACTGTCAGCAGTTGTAGTAGCACAAGCAGCAGTACTGTTCATAGGTTAGATGTGGAAAGTGACTGCTTAGATTATGAAATTTTGTGGGAAGACTTGACCATTGGGGAACAAATTGGACAAGGTTTCCATCTCAGCACACATGCTCTTATGCTATTTATCTAGAATTAGGACTCTGGGTTAAAGGATTTCTATACGTAATGGCTCATGTCGAAACATTCTTGTTGACCTGCTATCGCTCATTTATGTTGATGCAGGATCTTGTGGGACTGTCTATCATGCCCTGTGGTATGGATCAGTATGTTCTTCCCCTCATCCTCATATCATTCTAGTTCCATTTCCGACAAATGAATCTAGGATACTAGCATCCTAAAGTTTGGTGTAGATGTTTTAATCATGAATTTTCCTTGGTCTTGCCAATATAGTCTGACACTGTTCATACCCGACATTACAGGATCCTTTTTCTTAGTGTGCATTAGTAGTAGAACTCCACAATAGTGTTTTGGCTAATTTCCTTTTCTAGCCATATTGTCAAATGTACTAAATATATAATGATCACTAGTTCGGTGGTTGAAACTTGAAAGATGAGCCACTTTTGTTTTCAGGATGTTGCGGTCAAGGTATTCTCCAAGCAAGAGTATTCAGAAGATGTGATACTTTCATTTAGACAAGAGGTGTGCTTATCCTTTATTATCTAGTATCATATATAATTGACACGTCCCTCTTTTCCCTTTTGTTTTGAGCCTCTCACAATGATTGTTCATTGATGAAGGTATCCCTTATGAAAAGACTTCGCCATCCCAACGTGCTGCTCTTTATGGGTGCCGTGACCTCACCTCAGCGTCTCTGTATCGTTACAGAGTTCCTTCCTCGGTACTTCCTAAAAGCTAGATATCTTAAGTTGCTAGCTCTACAGTGCTTTTTCTAATGCATATCCGGAGTGTTTTAGTTCGCTAATGCAAATCTATTATGGTAGTAGTTAGTACTACCAAACCGATATCTGCTTGCTAGACTGAATCACTCTTTGCAATTTTGTCTGTTATGCAGTGGAAGTTTGTTTCGTTTGATCCAAAGGAACACAACCAAAATAGAGTGGAGACGGAGAGTGCACATGGCTTTGGATATTGTAAATAGTGATCCATTTTGATTCCCGAGTCCTCATTTGTTCCTTTCGATGATATATATTCTCATGAGAAGATATTTCTTATTAGTCATCTCCTGGTAGATGAACTGTTTCCTCATACACAATCCTACTGTGGTATTATTTGTTGCAACAGGCACGGGGTATGAATTATCTTCATCATTTCAACCCACCTATTGTTCATCGTGACTTGAAGTCTTCGAATCTTCTGGTTGATAAGAATTGGACAGTAAAGGTAAAGTCTCCCGTTGCCTTATTTGGGGTTTGCTCATCAGTTGTTATACCCCCTTGATACTGGAAAACCAAAAGCAAATGATATGATGGCTATCTGACCAGGTTGGTGATTTTGGGCTATCTCGTTTAAAGCACAAAACATTCCTGACAACCAAGTCCGGGAAGGGCACGGTAAGCATTTAATATAGTGCCTGATTTAATTTAAAGTTATAAAACAATGAAAATGAAATGTCCAACTCACTTTTCTAGTTTTGATTTCTAGAATTGTTTAACTTTGATTAATCCAAGAAGAAAAAGTTTTGATGTTTGGAATGAATGAAGTTGAAAAATGGAATTTCATTAGACGCTTGGGATTCCTGGTTGCTTTTGAAAGTAGAGGGATTGGTTCGATTGTTTTGATAGGAACTGGTTCGACGGAATGAATTTGATGAATCTATTGTTTATTTTATCTTGCTCATTACCTTTCTTTCTCCTGCAACTCTTGGCTCTTGCCTTTTCATATTGCCCAAGAACCTGTTTGTATTTTCTATCGTTCAAACTACAATTTATCTACATTGATGCGGGAATTTTTGTGAACTCAGTATCTTGAATTAGTTACTCTACTAATTGAAAACAAAAGTAATGTCGCAAAGCTACTAAAGGGCTATTTTTCTACTGCCTGTGCAGCCTCAATGGATGGCACCAGAAGTTCTCCGCAATGAAGCCTCTGATGAGAAGTAATTATCCCTACTCTTGTTTCTTGCTTTAGATATCTTCTTCGAAAGTTCCGGCTCGTTATCCTGCTTGATTAATTCAATTCCTCTTCCATGTAGGTCTGACATCTACAGCTTTGGAGTGATACTATGGGAACTTGCAACCGAGAAGATTCCTTGGGATAATCTCAACTCGATGCAGGTACTATAATTAGCATAGTTTTCCCCATTCAGCTATCTGACAAGATTCAGAATGGCATATATGAACAGCATCATCAATTTAGTAAAATTTCAGGTAATTGGTGCTGTGGGATTCATGAACCAACGGTTGGAAATACCAAAAGACCTCGATCCCCGTTGGGCCTCTATAATTGAGAGCTGCTGGCTCAGGTACATCACCATTTTCATCCTTAATCTTACTTTCCTTCCCGGAGTTTTGGTGCATTGAATGTGACTGTTGCTGATGTTAGCTGGAGCCTAGATATTTCATTTTTTAATGTGGAATACTCCTGAAATATCGTCAACTATGACATGCAATATCCTTTCAGAAAACAAAAACCGGGTTGCCTGAATAAGTTGAGAGAGGTTTTTGGACTTTATTTTTTTTAATCATAATCCCTTTTGGAGTGGGCATTGATCCAATTTGTGGTTTGTATGAATTGAATAGGATTCGATCTGCTCTGAATTGAATTGGGTTGAATTGATATCAGAATCAGATAGGTATAGAATGACATCGAAGTATAAATCAACCCAGTATCGGTTGCCAAATTTGAGTTTTTTGTTGTTGTTTCGGTTCCATGAATTCTCTTAATATGAAAACAGAAAGCGGGACCAAATCTGTCGAATGCACTCTAAGTATAGTTTTGTTCATCCTAATACTGATTCAAATGAATTCTGGATGGAACCAGAAAACAGGAGACATGTTTCGTTTCCTTTTCACCTCTGTGTCAATTTCTAACTTGCAATTATGGCATTAAACTGTTTTAAGGTCGTCTTCCAGTTATAGGATTTATCCAAACCACGGCTGTCAGGTTTTGACCTCGAAAGATCGTTACACTTTGGATTTTCCAAGTATATGTGACATCGATGCTGATCTCGAACATGTACCTTCTAGGTACTGGATGGTAAAAAGTCCTACATAGGAGGGTAGGCCAACTAGGGAGCAATCTAATGATAAAACAAACTTAGAAGTCACATGTTCGAATTGGTTCGACTGGTTCCAATTTGATCCAAACATTGATTCGATCTGCTTCGATGTTTTCCCCCCTGCACTTCTGTTCTAGTTATAGGAGAAGAGGCCAAGGAGTGAGTGATCTGACGATAAAACGAACTTAGAAGAAGTCACATGTTCTAATTGGTTCGATTGGATACAAACATTGATTCGAACTGCTTCTATATTTCATCCCCTGCACTTCTGTGCTAGTTATCAAACTCTGCTAACCTGTTAGAATCTTTAATTTTGGCTTCGCTACACTGCAGTGACCCAGCCAGCCGCCCAACGTTCCAAGAACTCCTGGAAAAGCTTAGGGACCTCCAGAGACAGTACACCATCCAGCTCCAGGCCGCGCGTTCCTCCGCAGCCGCTGGAGAACATCACGCCACCACCCTCCACAAGGAAAGCTAGCCGAGCCAGCTCTCGTGGCGCGAGCCCTCCACAAGTCCTGCGAAACCTTTTCGGCGTTATCTCGAAGAGGGAAAGCTCACATTCCATCCCACCCCTGATTTGATTGCAAAGAAGGAATTCTTGTGGATTTGTAGTGCCACGCAGCGATATAGAACAAACAACACAGTCAATGTTGCTGGCGAGGGGCAGAAAGGCACAGAAACTGGAAGGTTTTTTTCTTATGGCAGCCGTCTCGAGGGCAAAGTTTTCTTTTTTATTTGTTCTTGGCGGGCAGTCTGAGTTTGAGTGTGTGCGCGCATTTTGTACATGTTTCTCAGACGCGCCAATATTTAAGAGAAAAGGAGAGAGAGAGAGAGGAAGAGGCGGTGTTATATTTGTTGTCACTGTGTGTAGATTTGGGTGGATTCATTCACCAAATTGATTAGCTCATTGTTCACTTTAGGAAATTCGTTGTGCAGATTACGGAAGATATATAAAAAAAGGCGGAAGAAGTCTGAAAATATGGATTTTAATGGCGTCTACTTTTCCGTTTCCCCGCCATAGCTTCTCCTCCTTGCGAATCCTTCCTACGCCCCTAAACAAACCACCAATCCGCCATTCTTCCGTAGCTGATTTCCCAGGGCACTGCTGATCCGTTTATAGCTCCGCTACGATCTCTGCTCCTTTCTGCCTTGATTCGGAATGGGTGCGCCGGCGGCGAAAGAGCTTCTCCGGAAGGTGCAGGAACTGGAAGCCGGACAGGCTGAGCTCCAAAAGGAGATGACGAGGCTTCTTAGGCCCTCTTCCGATCAGAACTCCGAGAATCTGCATGAACAGCTCCACCGGCATCCTCCTCCTCGCTCTCGGTTCATCTCGCCTCCGCGTGAAAGGACGGGACGGCGCTTCGAGAAGGCTCCGGCTACGAAGAAGTCCTCTCCGCCGCCATTTAGGCATTCGTCTCCTTTGGAGCGGGATTCGCGCCGTCCGAGCTGCGGTTCCGGTAATGACGGTGGCGAAAGGAGTGCTGGTCCGTCTGCCGTGAAGCATACCGATAAGCAGTACTTGAACATCTTGCAGTCCATGGGGCAGTCCGTTCATATTTTTGACTTCTCCGGCAGACTCATCTACTGGTAAACTGATTCTGAACTCTATGTTCAATTATTTCCTTCTTCGCCGTAATTTTAGTTTCCGTTTCGTTTACAGTCTTTATTCGGGAAGTTCTTTTTCGTCTACGGCGATTTGCTTATTGAGGCGACGGTGGTCGACTGATCAAAATTTCGTTGCAGGAATCGAGGTGCTGAAAAGTTGTATGGCTATTCTGCGGCGGAGGCTTTTGATGGAAACATAGTTCAGCTGCTTGTAGATCCCGGTGATAGAACGATTGCGCAGAATGTTGTTGATCGCGTCCTCCAGGGTGAGAGCTGGACAGGACAGTTCCCTGTGAAGACCAAGAGCGGCGATAGGTTTCCAGTCGTCGCGACCAATACACCTTTCTACGATGACGAGGGTACTTTGATTGGGCTGATCTGCTCATCTATGGATTCAAGGCCATTTCACGAAGTGAAGGCTGGTTTCTCTGGTCCCTTTGATACGGAAGCAGTCTCGAGTTCCTCCAACTGTGGTGTTGATAGAACCTGCAGCAGTGTCTCGGCTGAGCTTGGTATGGATTCCCAGTTGCCACTGCAAGCAACACTCAAATCTAAGATATCTAACTTGGCAACCAAAGTGAGCAACAAGGTGAAGTCCAAGATTCAAACTGGAGAGAACAACAGCTTGGATTGTCCTGAAGGTGGTAGTGGAGATGGTCATCATTCTGATCATGGTTTCGCGGATGTAGCAGCTGAACATAGGGACGATGCAAACTCCAGCGGTGCTGGTACGCCTAGGGCAAGCTCACGGAGGGGAGATTTTCATCCATCTTCTTCTGTTGTCTCGCCTTCTGGCGATGATAGTGAAGGGAAGCCGGCAATCCTCAAGGTCATCACTTCGAAAGCAGAAGTGTGTACGGGTAAAAAGGGGTTGTCATGCCCATGGAAAGGGTATGAGAGGGAAGTTCCCGAGGCAAGAATGACCAAGTTCGTTTGGCCTTGGTCGCAACATGACCAAGAGGGTGAAATGAATCGTCCCTCTAATGCGTGGTCGTTATCATCTGGAAATGTTAACAGCAGGAGCTGTGTCAGCAGTTGTGGCAGTACGAGCAGCAGTACTGGGAATAGGATAGATGTGGAACCTGATAGCTGGAATTATGACATATTATGGGAAGATTTGACAATTGGAGAACAAATCCGAGAAGGTTGTCAACATAGTAGACACACTCGCTCTAGTGCGGATTTAATTATTACTTTGCTTGGCCCATGTTAACCCTGATATTACTCTTTCAAAATGTTGATGCAGGGTCTTGTGGGACTGTCTATCATGCCCGGTTGTACGGATCTGTATGTTCTTCTCCTCCATCCCTTTATCATTCCATGTATTGATTGTAGTACTGTGCTTCAAGTGTTGACAGCCGAATATGAGCTCCTTTTGAGCAAGTTACTACAATCCTAAAGTTTGACATAAGTGTGCGAATGTGAAGGTTCCTTGCTGTTGGCAATTTAGACCGGCATTGTTCATACTGCACACTGCAGCAGCCTTTTCTTGTTCATACTGCAACTTTTCTATTTGTCAGTAACACTAAAATATATAACCATCAGTTTGGTGATTGAAACTTGAAAGATGGCGCAATTTTGGTTTTTTTTCCCAGGATGTTGCGGTCAAGGTATTCTCCAAGCAAGATTATTCTGACAATGTGATTCTTTCATTTAGACAAGAGGTGTGCTTCTTCTTTATCAGTGTAATCTATAATTCAATTTTCTTCGTAAAACAGTACTCCCCCCTTCTTGAAACCTCTTTGTAAACTATTGTATGTTACTGAAGGTATCCCTTATGAAAAGACTCCGCCATCCAAATGTGCTGCTCTTTATGGGTGCCATGTCCTCACCACAGCGTCTCTGTATCTTTACAGAGTTCTTACCTCGGTACTTCCCTATATTCTGCTCGTCTTAAGTTGCCAGCTTTACCTTTCTTTGAATGCAAAATCAATTAGACTGAGGCACTCTTCTCATGTTTGCCTGTCATGCAGAGGAAGTTTGTTTCAGTTACTGCAACGAAAAGCAACAAAACTAGAGTGGAGGCGGAGAGTGCAGATGGCCTTGGATATTGTAAGTAGGCAATCGACTTCTAGTCCTTATCTTTCTTATTCATTTGGTTGATGAAGCGTTGGACAATCTGCTGTCGTCTGTCTGTTGCAACAGGCACGAGGTATGAATTATCTTCATTGTTTCAACCCTCCTATCGTTCATCGTGACTTGAAGTCTTCAAATCTTCTGGTTGATAGAAATTTGACGGTAAAGGTAAAGTCTCCCCTGGTCGCCAATTTGGCTTTTGACCATCTTTGTGATTTCAAGTGTGTGTACTTGGTATCTTAAATCTTCCTGTGACTGAAAACCCAAATCTTGTGACCATCTGACCAGGTTGGTGATTTTGGGCTGTCACGTTTAAAGCATGAAACATTTTTAACAACCAAATCCGGGAAGGGCACGGTAAGGAGTTGTTCCAAATGCTCGATTTCGAGTTGGGAATTGAATGAAACGAGAAATGTTCTGTTTTTCCTACTTGCATCTGCAGCCTCAATGGATGGCCCCAGAAGTTCTGCGCAATGAACGTTCCGACGAGAAGTAAGTCACCCTCTTCACTTCGCCATGTATTTCCTCTTCGAACGGGCAGATTTAGTATACTTCGGACACGCCATGCTGCTTAGTATTTTCTTCATTTCCTTTCCCATGTAGGTCTGACATTTACAGCTTTGGAGTGATACTGTGGGAACTTGCGACCAAGAAGATTCCTTGGGATAATCTCAACTCAATGCAGGTACTACAATAAGCTTAGTTCTGCCATTCGGCTATCTGTCAAGATTCGGCAGGGCATATATGAACAGCATCATTGATTAAGTATAATTTCAGATAGTTGGTGCTGTGGGATTCATGAACCAACGGTTAGACATACCAAAAGACCTCGATCCCCGCTGGGCCTCTATAATAGAGAGCTGCTGGCTCAGGTACGTCACCATTTTCAGCCTGAATCATTCTATACTTCCCAGAGTTTTGGTCCATTGAATGTGTCTTTTGCTGTGCTGATGTTAGCTGGAGCCTAGATATCTCAATTTTTTTAATGGGAAATACTCTGAAGTAGCGTCAACTATGACTTGCGATATCCTGTCAGAAAACAGAAGCTGGGTGGCCTTGATAACTTGAGAGAGGTTTAGGAATATGAATGTTTCATCATACTTACTGACGTGTTAGAATATGCTATTTTGGCTTTGGTAATTAAATTGCAGTGATCCAGCCAGCCGCCCAACATTCCAGGAACTCCTGAAAAAGCTGAGAGACCTTCAGAGACAGTACGCCGTCCAGTTACTGCCCTCCCGTTCTTCCGCAACAGCTGGAGAACATCACACCGCCATCCTCGAAAGCTAGCCAAGCCGACTCGTGACGCAAACCTCCACAAAGCCTGCGAGGAACCTTTTTGGCGTTATCTTGAAGAAGAAAGATCCAGCTCAACCCCATCCCCTGATTTGATTGCCGGGAAAGAATCCATGTGGATTTGTAGTGCCATTCAGTGACAGAACAAACAAGACGGTCAATGTTGATGACGATGGGCAGAAAGGCACATAGCAGGAGTGTTTTTTCCTTTTCCATGGCAGGCAGCCATGTGAGGGAGATTTGAGGGAAAAGGTATTTATATCTTTTTGTTTTCTTTTTCATGGTGGGCGGGGTTGGCTGAGTTGGTGTGCGTTTTTTGTTTTTGTTTATTATGTTTCTCAGACGCGCCATTATTTTATAAGAGCAAGGGGGAGGGAGGGAGAGCGGTGGTGTTGTTTGCTTTATTTTTTAGTAGAAGGTGGTGTTATTTGCTGTCACTGTAGTTTGGGGGGAAGAAGTCAGAGAAGGTAGATATTAATGGTGTCTTCTTCGCGATTCAGATTCTCCTCCTTCCGAATCCTACCTCCCCTCCCAAACAAACCGCCATTTCTTCAGGCAGAGGAACCTAGCTGGTTTCCCTTGCTCACCGTGCTCCGTTCGTAGCGCTACTGCGATCTCAGCTCCCGACGAAATCCTCAAGCGCCTTCTCGCCCTACCTTCCATGGATGCGCCGACGCCGCCGACCGAAGAGCTACTGCGGAAGATTCAGGAGCTGGAAGCCGGGCAAGCTGAGCTCCAGCAAGAGATGGTGAAGCTGCTCAAGCTCTCTTCCGATCCGAAATCCGAGGATCTGTTACTCCACCAGCACGAACAGCACCACCACCACCATTATCACCACCACCCTCCGCCTCGCTCTCAGTCCGTCTCGCCTCAGCGTCGTCAAGGGACTGGACGGAGCTTCGAGGCGGCTCCGGCTGCTGTGGAGAAGAAGACCTCTCCGCCGCCGTTTAGGCATTCGTCTTCGTCGCAGCGGGATTCTCGCCTTCCGAGAAGCGGTTCCAGTAGTGACCGCGGGGGAAGGAGTGCTGGTCCGTCGGCTTTGAAGTTTAGCGATAAGCAGTATTTGAACATCTTGCAGTCTCTGGGGCAGTCCGTTCATATTTTTGACCTCACCGGCAGTCTTATCTACTGGTAAACTAATTCTCTGCTTTCCATTCTATTTATAACCGTTTCCATCTTCGCCGGAATTTTTAGTTTCCGTTTCTTTTCTAGTCTCTCTTTCGTCCATGGCGTTTCGCTTATTCAAGGGGTGGTGTGGTGGTTGACCAATCGAAATTTTGCTGCAGGAATCGAGGTGCTGAAAACTTGTATGGTTATTCTGCAGCGGAGGTTCTTGGTCGCAACCTTATTGGGATCCTTGTAGATCCCAGGGATTCAACGATCGCGCAGAGTATTATTGATCGTGTGTTCCAGGGTGAGAGCTGGACAGGACAGTTCCCAGTGAAGACCAAGAGCGGCGATAGGTTTACAGTTGTGGCGACCGATACACCTTTCTACGATGACGACGGTACTTTGATTGGGCTTATATGCGTCTCTGCAGATTCACGGCCGTTTTACGATGCGGGGGTTGATTTCTCTGGTCCCGTTGATAGGGAAGCAGTTTCGGATTTCTCTAACCGTGGTATTAGAAGTAGCAGCAGTTTTACTAGTCTCACAGCTAAGCTTGGTTTGGATTCTCAGCAGCCTCTGCAAGCAGCATTCAAGTCCAAGATATCTAACTTGGCAACCAAAGTGAGCAACAAGATGAAGTCTAAGATTAGAACTGGAGAGAACAGTGTCGATCATCGTGAAGGCGGTAGTGGAGATAGTCACCATTCCGACCATGGTTTGGGGGATATTGCAGCAGAGCATAGGGATGATGCAAACTCCAGCGGTGCTAGTACGCCTAGGGCAAGCTCACCTAAGAGAGATTTTCATCCACCTCCTTCTGTTGTCTCACCTCCTGGCGATGAGAGTGAAGGGAAGCCTGCAATCCACAAGATCATCACTTCGAAAGCTGAAGAGTGGATGGGTAAAAAGGGGTTGCCATGGCCATGGAAAGGGAACGAGAGGGAAGTTTCTGAGGCAAGAACGAGCAAGTTCGTTTGGCCTTGGTTGCAGAATGATCAAGAGGGTGAAATGAATTATTCCTCTTCTGGGTCTTGGTCTTCCTCTGCAAATGTTCATAGCACGAGCAGCAGCAGTTGTGGTAGCACGAGCAGCACTGTGAATAGGTTAGATGTGGAGACTGATAGCTTGGATTATGACATATTGTGGGAAGACTTGACAATTGGAGAACAAATTGGACAAGGTTATCATCTTGAGTGTACAAACTTGCTCTATTGTGGATCTAATGATTTCTTTCCTTCAATGGCTCATGTTAACCCTGCTATTCCTCTTTTGTTTGTGCTGATGCAGGTTCTTGTGGGACTGTATATCATGCCCTGTGGTATGGATCAGTATGTTCTTCTCCTCATCATCCTTTTATCATTCTATTTCCATGTATGATAACTGTCGATAGCTGAATATGAACTTGCTCTTAACAAGTTACTTGCACCCTAAAGTTCAAATGTGACCATATAAACTATCCTTGTTCTTGCCAATTTGGGTCGAAATGTTCACTCAACATTACGCCAACATTTTCTACTTGTGCAAATGAAAAATTTGCTGCAGTACTTGAGCAAAACTGAAAGAAATGCCCTATAGTGGGTTAGGCAGTTTCTTTATCAAACCATTTTGTCTATAACACACCAAATATGTTATGTCAACTTTTTTTATGGTTTAAACTTGAAAGATGAGCCATTTTTTTGTTTACAGGATGTTGCAGTTAAGGTATTCTCCAAGCAAGAGTATTCTGACGACGTGATACTGTCATTTAGACAAGAGGTATGCTTCTTTCTTATGTTATTTGGTGTCAACTGTAATTAAAATGTCCTAGTAAACAGTAAAAAGAGAAAGTATTTTTCCGTTTGTTTGAGCCTCTTGTAAATTATTGCCTGTTGATGAAGGTGTCCCTTATGAAAAGACTCCGCCATCCAAATGTGCTGCTCTTTATGGGTGCGGTGACCTCACCTCAGCGTCTCTGTATCGTTACAGAGTTCCTACCCCGGTACTTCCTTAAAATATACTCTTCTGAAGTTGGTAGCTCTACCCTTTCATTGAATGCAAAATCAAATTAGACTGAGCCACTCTTCTCATGTTTGCCTGTTATGCAGAGGAAGTTTGTTTCAGTTACTCCAACGAAACACAACAAAACTAGAGTGGAGACGGAGAGTGCAGATGGCATTGGATATTGTAAGTAGTCAATCCACTTTGAGCTCTCAGTGGTTCATTCGCTCCTTCCAATGCTGAGAAGCATTGGCTGATCTTTCTTAGTCAATCGGTAGATGAAGTGTTTAGACATCTACTGTGGTATCATCTATTGCAACAGGCACGGGGTATGAATTATCTTCATCATTTCAACCCTCCTATTGTTCATCGTGACTTGAAGTCTTCAAATCTTCTGGTTGATAGAAACTGGACGGTAAAGGTAAACTCTCCTTGTCACCAATTTGGTTTCTCGCCATCTTTACTCCTCAGATGCTGAAAACCAATTTTATGACCATTTGACCAGGTTGGTGATTTCGGGCTGTCGCGTCTAAAACATGAAACATTTTTGACAACCAAGTCTGGGAAGGGCACGGTAAGTTGTCCCAAATGATAGATTCTGCACATTTTCAAACATTTTCCATATGAAATTGATTTCAAACATTTTCCGACTTGCATGTTTAGCCTCAATGGATGGCACCGGAAGTTCTCCGCAATGAACGTTCGGATGAGAAGTAAGTCGTCCGTCCTCCTGTTACCTTGCCATACATTTCCTCTTCAAACCGGCTGACTTGGGAAGCTTCAGAGTTCATACACATAATGCCTGCTTACTAATTCCTCCAATGCCTCTTCCATGTAGGTCTGACATCTACAGCTTCGGAGTAGTACTATGGGAACTTGCGACGGAGAAGATTCCTTGGCATAATCTCAACTCAATGCAGGTATTCTATAATAAAGCATAGTTTTCCCCGTTCAGCAATACGCCAAAAGATTAGGCATGGCATATATGAACAACGTCATAGTTTTAGTATTAATTTCAGGTAATTGGTGCTGTGGGCTTCATGAACCAACGGTTAGAAATACCAAAAGACCTCGATCCGCGCTGGGCCTCTATAATTGAGAGCTGCTGGCTCAGGTACGTCACCACTACTCTCTATCTTAATCCTTATTTCCTTTGCAATATTCATTTGGAGTGAATAACTCGCGCAGTTAGAGAGGTTATAAAATGAATGTTCTATTCGGCTAAGCATTAATTTGATTTTCATTTACTACTATGAATGATATCACCTGAATAGCATCAACAAATAATTTGCATTGTCGTGTCAGAGAATTGTTCTTTTGACAAGTCCTTCCTATAGAAAAGGGAGACGTGTTTTCTTTATTTGTAATCGCTCATCTCTGTCATTTTCAAACGTGCAATTAGGTATGTTATTAAACTGTGCAAAGGTCGTATTCCAGTTATAGGATTGATTCCAAGTCCCCAACCACGAATTTGGCAGTTTTTGGGCTATTGTTATATTTTATCTGTTTTGACGTGGGTGATGGCCCCCCAGTTTAGCCCGTAAAATAGACAACAAGAAAACAAGGTTTCATTTTGGATTTGCCAAATCTGTCTGAGATCGATGTTGATCTCGTGTGTGATTTTTAAGTCATAAAGAAGTACTTTGTGACCGCGACGTTTTAGTAATAATAGACTGTTAATTTCCTAAGTAGTAGGCAGGCATCCGGTCTGGTGCAGCGTCGGACAATATCATAAATCAAGGAACCTTGAGGTCCAGCATCACTTCAAAGCGCATCGATGCAATTCGCTTCTGGTTCCGATATGATCCACATTTAGTCTTAAAGAGATGGGACAAAAACGAATAGAAGTCTTGGATTCAAGTATTGAACAATCTGGATCACATTTCGATCCGACTCGATCTCATCTGCCCACCTGTAGTCTTTGAGTCATTTTCCCCATTCTCCTCTGCTTCAATCTTCGAACTGGCTAACGTGTTATTACCTGTTATTTTGGGTTTGATAAACTGCAGTGACCCAGCCAGCCGCCCGACGTTCCAAGAACTCCTGGATAAGCTGAGAGACCTTCAGAGACAGTACAACATTCAGCTCCAGGCTGCCCGTTCTACTACAGCTGCAGCTGGCGAGCATATCACACTCACCTCCCACAATGGAAGCTAGCAAATCCCACTCAGAACAACCAGAAACGGAATTTCGCAAAGGTTGCGAAACTTTTCATTCGGAAGATCCACCCCTGATTTGATTGCTGCGAACTGTGTGGGTCTGCAGTGCCACGCAGCGACAGACACAAACAAGAAGCTTGTTTCGCTGTTGCTGACGGTAGAAAGCAGGGCAGAGAAGCAGAAGGTAGTAGAAGACAGTATTTGATTGGAAGCCATGTGAGATGCCGAGGGAGAGGGTTACATACTTACATTTCCTGGTGGTGGGCTGAGTTGTTGTGTGTTTTGTACATGTTTCTCGGACGCCATTTTTAAGGGATGGGAATGCTGGTGGTCTTAGTGGTGTTCTTTTTTGTCGTAGTGGGGGGTGATATTTTTCATGCACTAGCAGGAATTCCTTGGTGCAGATTCAAAAAGATAAAACGACAATGGAAGGGGAGAAAAAACAAGTTTTTTTTTTTTTTTTTTTATAACCCAGGGAACCTCAGCGCCACGTGCCGCTTGAGCGACAGCGTGATGTAATTGTAATGTGAAGGAAAGAAAAATTGTCGTGCTTTTTGTCCGTCTCTGCATTTGTCTGTTGATGGATTATCAATGGCGTCGACATCATTACCAACACTTAAAGTATAGTGGTCCTGCGAAGCAGCAATACAGGGATTGTTTTGTTTTGTTTCTGTAGCGTGCTGAGGTGTGGATTCTGAATCGAGCAAATTGTGCAAATCATACGATAGATTGCAGCGTTTTGGCAATGTTTCTGCAGTTAAAACTGTGCATTCTTTTTGCTGGGAGGTGCTGTATAAACTTGGCGTGACATGGACGTCAATATGATTCGAGGGGACACTTTTGGTGATGCAACATGGACGAGATGAATTCGGTGCACAACAGGCAAAATCACTGTGTACTAAAATTTGAACCAGATTACGATTCTCAACTTGCAAACCTTTTCCCTAATATTTCTGATCTGGTCCCATGCTTATCGTTGCCAGATTGGATATGACCTGAACCTGGCCTCCCGTTTCCCAGTAAAATACAGCTACACAAAAAAAATTCTTGCGGCCCAGGAGTACAAGGCTGGTTAGCGAATGATAACAATATTTAGACCCCGTCAATCGATCAATCAAATCATGCAAGAATTTCATCTCAACAGAAAAATGCATCGAAAGTAGGGAGTCAAAACTTGATACAAGAACACAGGCTACCAGAACTCAACTGTGTGAATGAATTCACCACAGATAACATCACCAAGCAGAAGCGGAAAGCTCTTTTGTCTATCTTCACAGTTTAACGAATACAGGGGTGATTCAAGGGAGTTCAGTTCCAGCCTTCTAGTTCATCCCAATAGTTATCTGCTGGATAAGGTATCGAATAGCAGCAACGGCGTCTCCCTTGTGCTCTCGCAAGGTCCTCTCTGCTACCTTCTTGTCCAGCTGTTCAAAATTGAAACAATGGCATACAAATCAGAATCTCAAGAAATATAAAATGGTGGTTCTTCGGGTAGTGGTTTGATGGTTTCATCATCACACGAGCAATGAAACACAATAGAGCAACACACCCGGAAATATTACCTCCAATTCATTAGCGATTACATCGACATCTGCTGGATTGATCTTCACTGCAGCCAGTTCTTTCTCCCTGCTCGGTTGACAAAAATCAAGCTATTGATTCAGTTCAACTTTCATCAGTCGGCAACAAGTGCAAAAAAGGCATGGAGACTTGAGCTTTTGCACGAAAATGTGGTTTGGTCAAAGGACAGTTTAATTCATTCTCACATTCATCGACTATTTGCGCTTCTAAGACACTGCATGGCCACGTCGGTGGCAGAAGTGTTTGCCATTAATAGTAAGAAGTTCAGGAGATTAACAGGACATGATATAGTAGGCCATTTTCCCCAAACCTTCATCAGTCAAGGTGTGCTGTAAGCTTTTACAAGGCACTAAAAAGCGAAACAAGAATTCAGTCTATTCCGGTAGCAATCTCCGTATTGCCTTGCCTCCATTTCTCATCAGCGGCCAATTCATTACCGTATTTGAGAAAAATCTACGAACCAAAACGTAAGGCATATGGGGTTCTGATCCTAATACTCTTAGGATAATCGCAAACAACCTAGCAACTCAACTCTGAAGATCAAAAGCCCGCAGCTCTACACTTTTCAAATCAGTAATACAGAACCCTACCGCCGCATTCCGCAGTGTAGTTCCATACCAAAACTGAAGGAGTTCGATTACCCTAAATCTTGGCGGCAAATTGTAGGCAATACTATCCACAAATTCCCAAACAGACAACGAAAGAAAGAAAGAAGATATTGGAGAAGCCATAGAGCACTTGGCGTTACCTCAATCTCATAGCGTTCCAATCCGCTTCGGAAGACGCAGCGATCGACGCCATAGCCTATAACACAATAGAGCGGCGGAAAGCGAGAAACAGTTAGAATCAGAATCAAAACCAGTGAGGAAGCTCGAAAGCGATAGAGAGAGGAGGGAAACCTCTTGAACGCGGGTGGAATCGAGCTGGCGATCCTCGACCCGGTCGGTGAGCTTATCGAAGGCCTTGCTCTGCTGCTGCATGTCCTTGGAGTCGACGACTCGCTCCACTCCTTCGTCTCCGGCCTCCATCTCTGCAACCTCTTCTCTCCGCAGTGAAACTTCGCAAGCTCTGATAAGGAATTCTATGGCGGAAGGAAGCAGGTGTTCGTTCTTCCACACTCGCAACCCCCCCTCGATTTTTAGGGCTGATTTTCGCGTTCATTCAGTTTCTCTCTCTCTCTCTCTCCTCTATTCAAACCGGGACGGGAGATTTGGGCCGAGTCCGACGCTGATGGCGGTAAAGGCTTTATGGACCTTCTTATCACAAAAGCCCATCAAAACCAAACTCAGTCCATCAGTAATTTAGGCCCATCGATAAGCATGCTAGTAGCGGGCCAATGACGAAGATAACCCTAGTAAGGGCAACGTCCTCTTTCAATTTAGTGACTTAGTTGACTGTTGACTGATTGTTAAACAAACTTTCAAACCTAGTGGTACGAAGATAAAAGAGAGAAGCATCCATTGGGCACTATAAGCTGGCAATTATGAGAAGTGAGCTTTCATATACACATATATATGTGGTATGACTATGACCTACTGGTTGGTGAAGTGTCACAAATTCTTGCTCTATATGTATAGGATACCGAAAGAAGGGAGCTAGAGGCTGACCACTAACTGCCTACTATGGTTTCTTATTGGTCCTAACAGTTTGCAATTAAGAGGAGAAAACGAATCTTCCATATATATATATATAAAAATATATTATATAATGGTAGCATCGATTAGTTTTTATCTCATTTCATGACTCTAAATTGAAGATCAACAATATAACCTCTAGAACAAATTCTTATTTGCGGATCTTCCAAATTATTAATCACAATAGTCATTTGGCAACGGATTATCGTCGACAACTTGGTCAAGATAACATTCTAATGTGCTAGTTACTTTATTCCGGTAGTGGTTTTTTTGGCTCACTAATCGTTCAATGCAAAACTTCTCACAAACAAACAAGTTGCAGATTTTTAAAAAAATCTTGTCATTGTTAATCTATTTTTTACAATATAGCTTAACATATATTTCGATTTCAGTTGCTTACAAAATATCATAAGATCAGTTAGAAATATATAACACGATAAGTTTTTCATTCATCTGAAAATCAAAGTGTACAGTAAATCAGAATATATGTAAATGGTTTGTATAGAGTCTAATGATACTATAAATGATCACTCTAGAGTCTAATTATAAGAATGATAATTAACACATCCCTTAATAAATCGACGACTCTAGATTAGCCATCCAGCTGTCTTCATTTAATTACATATATATATGCTGCCCATGCATGCTTAGCTGGAGGTACGTTCTATCTAGGAATATAACAGCGGTGTTATTTAATTTGTTGCAACCATGCCACAGTATAAATAGATGGACAATTCCACACTAATTTAATCTACTCTCTCTATGATCTCTCTTCAAAAATATGGGGAAGCAGCTAATTCCTGTCACTTCCAAATACGTTGGAGTCACACTTCTAGTTCTGATGCTGGCTCTGGCTTTCGGCCTGGCGCAGTCCCATAGGCTGCTGCGAGAAGTAGCAACAGTTGAAGAGAAAAGAGGAGGATCAATGGAACACGAAATCCCCGGCGGCGAGATCGGAGGAAAGAAATGCAAAGGTGGCGGCGGCGGCGGCATGGGAGGCATGGGAGGCTTCGGTGGTGGTGGTGGTGGTGGCAGCGGCGGGGGCAGCATCGGCGGAGGTGGCGGTAGCTACGGCGGAAGTGGCGGTGAAGGAAGCGGCGGCGGCGGCGGATCTGGGTATGGCCATGGGTTTGGAAAAGGGATGGGTGGCGGGGGCGGGTCTGGGTTGGGCCATGGGTTCGGGCAGGGGATGGGTGGCGGTTCTGGGTTGGGCCATGGGTTTGGAAAGGGGATGGTTGGGCTCGGCGGAGGAATGGGGGGTGGGTTTTAGTTAAAGCATGTATCAATATCATGTATGCGTTTGCATGGGGGATTTAGGAGTCCGACGAGCAATGTCTGATCAGATTATACTATTGTTGTGAGCTTCTATAAGCTCCTAATGATGATTTCTCCATAAATAAAACTTCGAGTCATGAACTCATGATGAGTTATTGCGGGCATTGCTGGCCAGGAATGCTCGAAACCTTGTTTTAGTCAGGTCGTCGAAGCCCATTTAAGAAACTTGTTGGGCCGTGTATGCAGCACTCACCTGGATCTGGTTCTCCTCTAGCAAATTTGGGCTCAAAGAACAAATAACTACTGGGCTTTGAGTTAATGATTCTGGGTTGCTGATGATACACGTCGAGAGGTAGGTAAAATTCAGTAATTGATTAGTGAGAACGCGAATTCTGCCATGTGTGTTACGATTAATTGTGCAGCTTGAAAAGTGAGATCAATCGAAAGCGATACTGCCGCCCATGTAGACAATGAACGTAACTAGTCAAGTGGGGGAAGAAAGGATCGCAAATGGACACGACACGTTCATCAGAAAGAAAAATAAAGAAAAAGAACGTTCCCTCCGTTTGTCACTTTGCCTCCAATTTTGCCAATTAATCAAGTGTCGGGATTATGGGTTGAATACTCGAAAGGTTTGAGTTTTGGTGTATAACAATTGGTTAAATAGTATCTACATAATCCTTTTTAATATGGTGATATGATATGATTATAATATAATGTTGCATGATATACGTAATATGATGAGGATACAATATGTTACCATATGATAGTACAGTATGATATACTGACGATGTTTGTACTTTGTAGGATTAGTAAGATCATATTTCATACATGGTACCTGTTCCTCCTCTTGAGGTTAAATTAATATTATATGTTACACTTTTTCCTCATAATGTAAAACCCGTCCATAAAAATAGACGACATAATATACGACATATATGTATCGTTTGTTTGTATTTGATTTTGGATCAACAAAATAGTCGAAAGTTATGTTAATGGTCAATCCATTTTATTTGTTTGTATTTGATTTTGCAAGCAACTCACGTTACACGCAGCGTCGTGGATTGATTAAGGGATTAGGGAGAGAAGACGTTGCCCTAATGATCATAATGTGGAGCAAAGAAGTTGGTTGGAAGTTGAGACTTAGAACGTACTTGCTCATTATAGCTTTGGCCGTCCAATAAGTTGCACTATCTAGCTACTCTAAAACACCCTGATCGTCAACTATAAAATCTTCCTGTGATGTTTACATTTTCCCTGCCGACGTTGATTTTTGGGGACCGAGCTCTTACAGAGAAATTGTAGCTAGAATCAAAGTGTCTCATGATGGAGATATTATGTATAATATTTGTGCTTTTAGGTTAATAGATTGTATTTATGGATAAGATTAATCGAACTTATGAATTTGATTACATTGGATGGATGGTATTTGTGGATTCATGAATCTATTTATGAAAATATTAGGTACTAAACTGTTATTATGAAATATTAGATACTAAAATATAAATTGTAAAGTGTGTTATCTATTAAACATAAGAACTTAGATATAAAGTTGTAAAATATAAACTATATGTATTAAAATATAATTTTAATCACCTCTACTTACAATTCAATTAATCATATAAATCTATCTCGCAATCGACACAAATAGCCTACTTTTTAACGTAATTTCATATAGCAACAAAACAAAATTTTCCTACACACTAGGTTCAAATCTTGTGACCGACAACAATAAAACAACAACTCATTAGTTCATGCCTAATGAAATAAAACAAGATTTTCAAGTACCCAAACCAAAATTAAACGACGAGACATAAGGCTTTCCAAACTATTTTGAATCTCTTTTCATAGGTTGACATACTAACACCGCCAAAGCTTCGAGTTTTGTCAAACGAACACATTTAAGTAGGCGGCAGAACAGTTCAAATATTATCAAATCCTCATTAATCAATTAGATCGACAGGTTATTATTGAACTATTGATTTAAAGCCCATTCTTTGAGTTTCTTTGAGGGTGAGACGTAGGGGTGTACATGGGTCGGGTGGTCCGTGTTTAGGCATTTTAATCACCCGACCCATGCACTACGGTTTGGGAAATATTAAACCCAAACCCACCCAAAAAAATCTAAACCCTACGGTTTGTTTCTAATTGGGTTGGGTCGGGTTGGCGATATTTTTAAGTAAAAACCCAACACAACACAAAATATGTAATTATTCTACATCATAAAAATATTTTAAAACAAATTAAAAATTCAAACGAATAAACCGAGGTGAAAGGTATCAAAATTCACAAATATTGTTTGAATTTTAATAAAACTTGATTTACTTCAACTTATGTCTAGTTTTTTTCACGACATTTGTTGAAATAGGCTAAAAAGGTTACAAATGAACGCATCCGTAATATGATATTCTTTTAAAATTGTACACAAGAAAAAAAAATTACGTGAATCATAGCTATATTAAATATATGTCTAAACTTTAAGTCAAAGAATGCATTAGATTAGTGAGACTTTAAGAGAAAAACATGGCGAAATATCTTAATTTTCTCATAAGTATGACTATATATGACATAAATATTTTTTTGGATACGAACTCATACCAATAATTGGAACACGGGTTGGGTCGGGTTCTACGGGTTGTGTAATCTAAAATCCAAACCCAACCCAAATGAGGCGGGTTGTACAAAAGAAAACCCTCATCCAACCCAAAACCTTCGATTTAGCGATAAATACGGGTGGGTTGGGTCGGGTTGGACGGGTGGGTCGGTTTGCGGGTGTGTTTGTTCACCCCTAGGTGAGAGGGAGTAGAAGAGCACGTATGCACTTAACTACATTGATTAAATATATATATATATATATATATCAGGAGGGTTATTAGAAGGTTATACTTCTGCGGTGTACAATACTTTGGATAATTCTAGTAAGATATCTCTAATTACACCACTAATCAAATCGAATTTTGGATAAAATATTTTACTCTTACTTTTAATGGATAAATTTCAAAATTCAAACACCAATTATCTAAAACTGAATTCGAAGGTCAATAATAAATAATTATAATAGACAAATTTCGATTTACACAAGTACAAACAGTGGCGGATCCAGGGGGTGGCCACCCCAGTCCCCGGCCCAGCCCTCCTCTGGATTCGGAGTTAGTATAGTGTTTATGAATTTTTCGAATTTAGTTATTCGGCCTAATGTTATTTTATAATAAGATTGTGTGTAATTAGAAAAATGATTCAGATTAACATATTCAAATCACTACTATAAATTTAGCCTAGAAATTCTAGCTTCAAAGACTATTTTTCTAAAAAAATAATGAAATATAAAATTCTAAAAATCTAAAACGTAAAAGACTATAAGAAATATGAGGTTTGTTCCCTAGAAAATTTACTAAAGCAGTTAGTGGATATAGGCATGGACACACAATGCACAATTGATTTGTCTAGTGTTGACGCTGCTCGTATCAACAACTACTACAAGGATAACCTTTTCAACAATGAAACATATGAAAACTGATTTCGCAACAAAATGAACGATGAATTTTTAGTAGATTGCTAAAGTATTTTATTTAAAACAATGTATACTGTTGGTATGGATGTGGACTCCATTATTGATGCATTCACTAAATTAAAATACTGTCGTGTACAATTTATATTGTAAAAAAAACTATAATGTTTTTTACGGTTCTAATTTTTTAATGAAATGCGGCCCAGTGCTCTTCTGTGTTCTGGATCCGCCGCTGAGTACAAAGAAGATTAAATCACTTGGAGTATGATACTAGGGACGATATTTATTTTCCAATTAGACGGCTCTCAATTGTTAAAGTCCACCTGCCTCCATTCCATTTAATGCTTAATGCTACATAGCTGGAACTACTAACGTACTACTACGTACGTAGTGTAATTCGAGCACCATCCCCCACACTATAAATAGCGGCCCATTCGACCTACTCTGGTATCTATCTACAACTCGATCAAAATCATTATACAGTACATTGAGCGATCAAATCTCGTGTCCTTTTTTGTCGAAATGGGGAAGCTAATGACTTCCAAGTATGTTGGAGCCGTCCTTGTTGTGATGCTGGCATTGGGTCTCGGTCTAGCGCAATGCCGCAGGCTGGGAGAGGAAGAGATTGAAACGATTGGCGGCGGAACTGGCGGTGGTGGAGGTTTCGGGGGTGGCAAAGGTGGAGGAGTTGGAGTCGGTGGTGGCGGCGGCGCTGGAGGTGGTGGAGGGTTTGGAGGAGGAATTGGGGGCGGCGGCGGTGCTGGAGGTGGTTTTGGAGGCGGCAAAGGCGGAGGTATTGGTGGTGGTGAAGGAGGTGGCAAAGGTGGTGGTGCTGGAGGCGGTAAAGGAGGTGGTGGGGGGAATGGTGGAGGAGTTGGCGGCGGTGAGGGCGGAGGATTCGGTGGAGGAAAGGGTGGTGGCATTGGGGGAGGTAACGGCGGCGGAATAGGAGGAGGTGCTGGTGGGGGCGCCGGTGGTGGCTTTGGAGGAGGAAAAGGTGGCGGCATTGGAGGAGGCAGAGGTGGAGGAGTAGGAGGCGGTGCAGGTGGAGGCTCTGGAGGTGGAATTGGTGGCGGCAATGGAGGTGGTCATGAAGGCGGAGGTGGAATTGGTGGTGGGAAAGGTGGTGGAGTTGGCGGCGGTGAAGGTGGGGGCGTTGGTGGTGGCGCCGGAGGCGGCAGAGGTGGGGGCGTTGGTGGCGGTGCTGGAGGTGGCAAAGGTGGCGGGTTCGGAGGCGGTGGAGGAATCGGAGGTGGTGCCAGTGGTGGAGCGGGAGCTGGCGGTGGCTTTGGAGGAGGAGCGGGAGGGGGAGCTGGTGGCGGCGCCGGAGGTGGAGCTGGCGCTGGTGGAGGATTCGGAGGAGGAGCTGGCGGTGGCGCTGGAGGCGGAGCTGGCGGTGGTGGAGGATTCGGCGGCGGCCGTGGTGGCGGAGGGATCGGGGAAGGTTTTTAAGTAGATAAACCGTTCAAACGAGCTATGTATGTACTATGTAGAACTCTGGAATATGCATGGGAGTTGAAGCTAGTGAGCTAGCTGTACTTGTTACCAAATGAATCCCATTAAATAAAATGCAGAAGTTTTTATCAATTAACTCGGAGATAATTTGGAAAATGCAGATTTTGTTAGGTATCAAACAAACAACCATAACTATCATTACAATCCAATTTTGTGTTATAATGCATCGCATATATTGAAAGGCCATGCATGTATTTGCAAGAAATCGTACCTATGATAAAAAAAAAAAAGGTAGAGCTATTCAAAATACAACAATCCGACATAGTTGTGCCTTCTGTGAAGAAAATTGTAGAACTACAGAGTGTAAGGTTGGAAGTGGTAGTCAGGGCCAAATTTTTAGATCAAAGAACTGAGTAATAATGGATCAAATGAAAAAGCTAAACTCGGAGATCAAAAGAGACCAATAAAGTCCATGTTTGTATGGGCAATAGAAGGATATGAGCAATCCTATTAGCAGAACTCGACGCAAGGAGGCCAGCTGCCAGTTACCGGACTTGTACAGTAGCGTTTGCGGCCGGCCGTCTACAATCACAAGTGCATATACTTCTGGACTCCTTCACCACTCGCTGAGATCTTCGAGTGTGCAGCTTAATATTCACCACTTTCCCGGCCATCATTCTCCAGGTCAAGTCTTCAGGTCCCAATGGTTGAGCCGGACTCGAATACACAAAATGCCTCGCGTACTGCCAGTATCAAATCGAGAGTTGTTTCAAATTAGTACCAAGACCGAATTATCATCCATATAAACATCGAGAAAAAAGGGTCAAATCCATGTATCCCCACTTCAATTTTCTGAACTGCTTATAGATTATGCAGCGCTAAAAACACCAAATACAAGACCACACAAGGGAATGACAATAGTTCTCCACAGATCATGTAAGAACGCGATCAAAAGAATTCAAACCTTTGCAAGGTTTGCTTGCATCTGTTTGATCTCAGCACGACTGACACTTCTTAAGAACTTCAGTAGCCAACCTGGTTGTAGAGCATCACCGGAAGAGACGAACAAAGCTATCTGCATTCGAGCAAAACATTGGATGCATAGGTAAACAAGCAATAAAAGTAACCGTTGAGAGCTGGATTGAGAACCCTTAAGAAACTGAACTTGTCAAACACGATAAACCGAGATTATCATGCATGCTCCATTTGGAGGCCATAATCATGATGCTGTGTCTATAATCATCTACATAAGATTTGCAACATAGCTTTCAAAGATACATCAAGACTTTCAAAGAGGAAAGGGGATACCTACCTTTCTGTAATCAAGAATTCCTTCAAAAGGAAGTTCCAACTCATCACTAACTATGACTGGAATGCAACCACTGACAATAGCATCAAACAGTCTTGCAGAAGATGGAGTGTCGCCAGCTGGATTCAAGCAGAAGATGGACCTGAAGAGAAAGGATAAGCAATGTAAGACTATCAGGGATCCATGGCTGGGAAAACAATGTACACATAATTGGCTAACATGTTGTTTACTTGCGCATGCCATTTTGAGCTGCCTCTTTCCCTCGCTCACCAGCTGTCCCTTCCTGTATGATCACATCTTCAACTCCACTTAGTTCTGATCCTAGCTTAGACCGTATCTTCCCACCCTGGAAAAATACAATAAACACTTGACTAAGCACTAAGATCCGGAGAAAAAATGCCAGCAACCAAACATGTATACGATATTAAAGGTCCCGGAATCTACTTAAAGCAAGTCCTTTTCTAACATTTAACAGCCTGCACTACAGTCTATTAATACTCAGTTGCAGGTCAAGATGGATATATGCTCCTGACCGTAAAAAAAAAGGTAGCTTCGGCCATTGAGCTGTACTATAGAGGGCTCAATTCTCAGTCAGTCGCAAGAAGAAGAAAAAAATAACTTACAGCATTTCTCTTGAGCCGCCCACGGAAATATAGCAGGGTCTTCCTCTTTGATTCAGTTTCAGACAAGCATGTTGCATCGCATAGATCAACATTGGCAACATAAGGAAGGATCAGGTCTTTCTCCAGGTAAACTTGTCCTGGCTTATACCTACAACCAGCCAAGCATTAAGCATTACAACTTAGGCATATCAAGAAGCTAGTGACTACTGAGTACTGACTAGTGAGTGAAATCTCATTCGAACACAATCACAACGAAAAATCGAAAGTCTACCAGTTCCCCGTGGAATCCATATCCGGTAGCAACCAAATAGCCTTCTTCACGTATCTACGAACCGACTTGAACGACCATGGATGATGCACTGGAATTATGTGATCCCGCCCTTCAGACCTCTGCCAAGCAGGCTGTTCCGTTATCCATTTCAGAGCTTCCTACATAAGACAGATCGTCGCTCTTAATGGAAGCTAACTAAATGAGGTAGATACCATAGCATAACCAACATTTAACAAAAATGGGGGGAAAAGAGAGCACTCACACCCTATAAAGCGACTTGCAGTCCTGCTTCTCCAGCAAGAAGAAGCTGATGGTGGTGAAAAAGGGAATGTAGAACAAATCGGCATCTTCCTGGTTCTCAACTCTAATTACAATGTTCTTCAGAGGCCTTTCCGATGGAGGAGATATCAAATCCGCCCAAAGCCAGTAATCGATGGAGTGCTGCTCGATGAGTCGATGGACGGGGCTGCCATTGGAGGTGAGGTTGTTGGTGTCTCGATAAGTTGTGGCGAACAATCGAAGCAATTCGTAGGTGAATTTGTGCGGCATGTCGTACACGTAAACCCTGATCGGCAAATCGAGCGGGTAATTAGGGTTCTGGGGCCGGTACATTCGGTCGGTCTCGCGGAGGAAGACGGCGTCGTCTAAGGCGGAGGGAGCGTCGCCGCCACCATTTTCGCCGCGGTCGGGAGGGATGGGGCGGGAGAGGAAGTTGTGTAGAGAAGTGACGAAGGAGGTTTCAGGGCGGCGGGAAGAGACGGCGGTGGAAAGTTCAGGAGAGGAAGGAGGAGATGAGAAAAGGAAGAGAATAAGGACAATTGAGATAGCGGCGATGAATAATAGGAAGATTCGCGATCTGGATCTGGAGGAGAATCTACTGACCGCCATTTTTTCTTCTTCTACTTCCAGCTTCTCTGTTTCCTTCCCCTGCTTCAGCTTCTTCTCAACGTTCGGGTGAAGGAAGACGACGATGAGATGGACTGGGCTTCATTCTTCCCGATAATGGGCTTTAAAGCTTTGAGCAGAGAGCAGGCCCATTCTATGACAAGGATCTACGCAACGAGTCTTGGGCCAGCTCCAATGCGGCCAACCGTTTTGTAGCAACACGACACTTTGACATTTTGTTAGGGGTCGTTTGGATGTGGAAATGTAATGCAGTAATTGGACCCAATTACCACATAATGCAGTAATTGGGTTAAAAATTCATGTTTGGGAGAGCAAAAATGGTATGGAAATTGGACCATGGAAATTGGCTTCAATTACCACATTCATGGTAATTGAGAATACTACACCTCCCCCTAGTAATTTGACATTACCACGTTTTCTTACTTCTTTTTCCAAATTCCACACCATCAATTCCCACAAAACTAAATCCTATCCAAACGTGAATTTTTTTCAATTTCCACAAGTCAATTCTTTGATTTTGTAAAACGTAGAAATTCAGACAAATTTCAACAATTTAAAATTTCCACATCCAAAAAAGAAGAGTAAATTTCAACAATTTACTCTTCTTTTTTTATAATTTGTGAAATCTGTTTATGTGCATTGTTAGGGTTGCTGTGAGCTTTGTCTAAGCTTAAGTTGAGTTCTCTGCAAATAAATGGGGATATTATTGAGAATTACCGTAAGAGTCAATGGTGGGTAGTTATCTCTCTATTCACTGAATTTCCGTGTTTTTTTTTTTTTAACAATAGATAGCTAGCTTTTATTACCACAACCAAAACCAGAGAAAAGCACTGTTTACATCACAAGAAATACCAACGATCAAAATCAAAACTCTCCACACTCGCAGGCAACAAAGAAAGGGTCTTCCTGGCCACCTCATGAGCCACCCGATTGTTACTCCTGCCAACAAAAGCAATGTCAAACCTCTCAAACCACTGCCGAATTCCACCAATCTCCTCCAAAATCCTTCCTCCCCGCAAATCCCTAGCATCAGCCCTCCGAATCTTGTCAATGACAACCTTTGCATCTCCATAAAACTTCACTTCAGTAATGCCCTTCAAAGAGCACCACTGAATCGCATCACGGAAGGCTATCAACTCAACTAAAAAGGGATCCACCAGACCTGCATAGGAAAAACCTTTCACAAAACAAACACTACCCATCGCATCTTGTACCACCAAACCCCCCGCACCATGAGACCCCGGTGCCACCGCACCATCCACAAAACATGAATACGCCATTCCATCCATCACCTGACTAGGCCGCCCCCCACCAATCCTCTCTCCACCCAAACGGCATGACTCAGGTTGTCACTGAATTTCCGTGTTAGTTTTGGTTTCATAAAACAAACCATTTTTGTGTCGCATATTTGTGTGAAACGTCACAGAATGAACTTGTTTTTTTTTAATCTTTTATTTTATATTTTATGAATAAGAGTGTCTATTAAGCAAGGATAACTTGTGATTAAGATAGTATGAGTGCATTAAGCTTTCTCAACCTTATTGCAAATTATCTCCAGCTCTAGCCATTGGAAGAATCATTCGATGTTAAATTAAGGTGTAGGAGCCTAGTTTTAAAGATGGAATCTTGACTCTCTCCTACTGATCCATTTCTCCCCACTAAATACTCTTATCCTTAATGCCTACTTAACCTCCTACAAAGGCTAGGCAACCATGGCGAAAGATTAATGAAAGCTAAGAACAGAGTAATTTCCGAATTGAACTCAAAATCAACCAATTACCTCTCCTGGCCTTGGTCAGGACTTTGATGAGACCCTCTGCTTCCTTCCCCAGAAAATGCATCACATCAAATCCCATGTATTGAAATTCTGTTGTCGGTATAGATATTTAGGTCGAACAAATACAAACACCAAACACACAATTGAGCCGCTTGGAAAACTTTTTCTATCTAATTAAGCATCCAACCCATTCCACCTCAATTGACCTAGAGGAACACGACCGGATAATCAAGCAACTCAGAGATACCCAAATCAGAAAGAAAACCTAAAGCAAAAAGTGTGACGAAGAAATTGACAAAATTGCCAGTGGCTGCAAAGGCTGGTAGACTCCTCAAATGCCAACGCCATATGTATTCAGTAAACGTGCACGTTTGCATTGGAGATCGCTAGCTCCCCCGATTAGAAACCTTCAAGCAAACAATCGTGAAAAAAGAACGGGATGAAAATTAGAGAGGTGAAAACGAACAGATCTGGGAGATAAATAGTTGCATAAGTTCGACGCACATATCTCCTGCGTGATCTCGGACAAGAACTTAGAGTCGGCTACCTTGCCAAAAACCCAGTGTGCCAGATCTCAAATTGTTCGCAGAGTGGTCACGAGACTCGATTTAAGGAAAGTAGAACGAAATTCAAATCTCACTGTTATCTACTTCACCCTAATTCAGAACCTGCAGTTTGATCAATCTACATGCATAGTCAAATCTCGGAATTAATAACTGAATAAGACTCGAAATTAGGTTAGAGAGATTACCAGAAGAAGGTCGAGAGAATGTGGTACCGATGTAGGTCAAATTAAGAGCAGTAGCAAAAGCTTCACGGTCGACAGAGAAGACGTACAACCGCCGGATTTCAAGATTGACGGGGAAGATGTATGACCGTCGGGGTTCGAAATAGACGAGGAAGATGGGTGACTGAAGGCGAAATCTCTGGCCAAGAGGAGAGCTCTTCCCCGTTCAGTTTTTTTCTTATAATGATAAGAGCTCCCGATAACGTTTCGTTTGTACAAAAAAACGTATTTGAAAAAAATGAAACGTATTTGAAAAAAATGTAATTGAAACTTGAGCAGGGGTTATAAAAACCGCTATACCGCTTTGCTGGTAAAGGTTTCAAAGTTAAAGCCCGGAAGCGGTTATAAAAACGGCTGGAATGGAACCCCTGGGCTTGGCCCATTATCTTGTAGTGGTTGTGTTAACTTCTCCTGATTTAGATCAATTGTATTGATTCTCTTTTAGTCTGATCATCCTCCCACGAAAACGAGTAGTCATCAGATCAACCATGATTCTTTTTTAGTTTAATTTCCTTCAATATCTCATCATTCTGATTACACAAATGAATCAATTATGGCATATAGCAAAAAAATAATCCAAAGCTTGTCGTCAGAGTCACCGAATTTGAAGGCCTGATTATTTAATGCCTTTTCATGCAAATATTATGGGAAATTGCCGAATTGGGGATCGTATTTACTCATGTAGTAGCAATGTATCACGCATCAAGATCATATGATTCATACGGATGGTTATGTTTTATTTATATGAGTTACGAATATGATCATGCACTACACTATTATCTCTAGATAAAACAAGATATAATTTACCTATTTAATTTAATAATATATATTGTGAAGAGTGGAAACTTTGGGCCGAACTGTAAACAGCGTGAGGTTGGAATCTGTAGTGATGAGGCCCAGCCCATTGGAAAAACATGATCTCTAATCAATTTCATGTCATCATCTCACAAATTAGTCTTCACCATTGGCCATTGAGATGGATACAACCGTATGAGCTGTAATCTGGCAAAGCCTTCGTACGTAACAAGACAAAAAGGGTAAGTAATTGATGGCTCTTTACTTCATTTAGCTGCCGAAACTGCTACTTTGCTTGGCCTCCGGCCGATCCTCCCTTGGCCATCGAATTCTACTGCCTTCAAATTCCTCCAGCGCCATCAATTGGGTTCGCCTGATTAATTACAGGCCTTGGTTTTGGGAGGAGTTACGGTATAATTGTACAAGAGTTAGCACCGTCCTAACCAAGGGTTAGTAGTGATTTAGCTTAGATGTTGTATTGATTTTATAATAATCCGTAGTGATTTCGTTGTTTTTAGTAGCGTTTTTTGCTAGTTATCAGCTGTGAAAAACAACTAATCACAGAAAAGTAGAAAACTCATTATAAAGACATAAAAGAATGCATGGAATGAATGAAATGACTAATTGATAAATTCGTATTGTTTACAATGTGTGGTTGAGGGATTACGGATAGCTATTTCGAGTCTCTACTATTGATAAATATTAACGGAACTATAGATAGGACGGGCTTATAATTAGAATAAAATGACATGAAAAGTAAGACTCATCTCGCGTCTCATGTTATTATTAGAATACACTCTCGATGGTGGTTTGAGAGTCGTGGTGAGGGGCGGACCTAGGTTAAAGGGGAGGTGTGTCAAGCAACACACCTCCGCTGGGATCTCACTGAAAAGTTTATTTGTTTTCCGTTATAAATATTTTAAATTAGGATATACGAAACACATCCAGAAGTTGTAAATGACACATTTGTTGTAATTACAGTAAAATGACTTGATAAAAAAATGATATTCAAAATCAGAACAGTGACTAGTTTATCAATGATTATTGGATTCTTCATTGAAAAATATTTGAGTTGCGTAATAAACGATACACGAATTTCATAAACCTCTCGTTATATAGAATTCAGTTGTTCGCCTAAAAAGTATTTTTTAGGCGAACGAAATTGTGTAATCTATAAAGTATTTTTTATTATTTTATTTTTATCGACCGGACAGACACCATTCTTGAAAAATCCTGATACGCCACTGGTCGTGTTTAACATGATTCACGTCCAAACAACTATCTTACCGTCCTCGATCACATTACTCTTTTTTTTTTTTTAGGGAACTCTTGAATACTCTCAATTTTTTTTTTACATTGAATACTCTCGACTTGACTAGTAGTTGAGAGTGTGAAGTGTGAACTTGGGATACCATGCATTGAACCTTCATCACCTCCACAACCCCATAACTATTCTTACGTATAGTGGAATATGAGTATATAACCCAATAAGGAGCACTCCTAAGTATGTAATTTTCTATCTCCTTTTAGCGGGACAAATGAATAAGCCATGCTATAATCCACTACCTGAATAAGCTATATCCTACCATCATAAAATTCCACCTCCTAACCAACCAACTGCACCAATTTATTACGTTCAAACGTACGCACGTACCTAAAATCAATCTTCAGAACTTAGTGCATCAGCATGACTCTCTCTATAAATTGCAGCTTTTTTGCCCTACTGATCGTGCACCACTACCACTCATGAGCTGAGTAACGATCAAAAACAAAAGAATAAAAAAATACTAGACAGTTGTTACATTTTGATTCCGACTCAAGTTTTTTTTCCGATGGAGAAAAAGCGAATTAAGTTGGCCGTGGTGGTGTTTGCGATCGTTTTGACGTCGATCGGGGCAGCACAATGCCGTGAGATGGAAGGAAGGGTAGAAGGAGAAAGGTTTGTGTATGCTACTATGGATCAGAAGCCGTCCACCGTTGAGCGTCCTCAGACTTTCCTTGGTGGTAGTGGCGGCGGCGGATTTGGCGGCGGGTTTGGCGGCGGCTTGGGGTTTTCGATCGGTAGGTTGCTGTGCGATCAGTTCTGTTCTGTGCCCGGGGGAGGCGGCGGCGGCGGTGGAGGAGGTGGCGGCGGCGGCGGCGGAGGTACTGGCGGTGGGTATGGACAGGGAGGAGGCACGGGGGGCGGCGGTAATTGCGGCGGAGGCTGTACCGGCGGTGGAGGTACTGGGGGCGGTAGTGGATATGGAGGAGGAACTGGCGGTGGGGTCGGCGGCGGAATTGGTTCAGGAGGAGGTACCGGCGGTGGTGGTGGCGGTGGCGGTGGAGGAGGGGGAGGTGGCGGTGGTTCGGGATTTGGTGGAGGGTATGGAGGCGGCGGTGGGGGATCAACTCATGGCGGAAAAGGTGACCATGGAGGTAAAGGAGGTTATGGCGGCGGAGGCGGATCATCTCCTGGCGGTGGCGGCGGCAAAGGAGGCGGTGGTGATCAAGGAGGAGGAGGAGGTGGTGGATACCCCGGCGGTTCACCTGTCGAATGTCCTCCGGAAGTTCCCGGCGGCGGTGAAGTACCACCGCTGCCTCCTGTCAGCGGCGGTGGTTACGGTGGCGGAAATGGTCATTGAGGCGCCGGAGATGACTTTTAATTGATTTCGTTCAGTGTCTGCTATATTAATCAAGGGGATCAGCGGAACTTCGGGTGGGTGCAACTTATTATTAGGCGATGATTATATGTAATGGATCACTCTCCAAATAAAATTAATATATTAAACGAATAAATATTGTTGAGAAATTAGCATATTCATTGAAAAGTAATTAACGTAAGGAACATGGACGACGCATCAGCCGTATAAAAATCTTAAATTCGAGACACGAAATTAAACCTTAATCACGCCCAAAATGGCAAGATTAAGTGACGATTATACATGATAACCACCGGGAACTTTTGTTTTTTTTTTTTCTTTAATCGTCTAGCCAAACAGGGAGCCACTGCGTGCCGTCAATGAAATCAATTGACAGAAATTCCTGTGCTTCCTTCTCCGTGAGCTGTTTGGCCCACGGAGCGCGTTTCTCCTTCTCAGCTCCAGGCCCAAAGCAATGGTACTCTGCTTCGAACAGATTCCTACAAATTAAAAAAAAAATATATAGATTTCAGTATTATGACTCTTCTAAATTTTTTACTGTAATTGCGAGTTAATTAGGGCGGTAAAAAAAAAATGATTGAATTCGATGAAGCTTACTCTGTGCCTCCTTCGTAGCTCCAGTTACTCCATCCCTCAGGGGCGATGGTTTTCGAGAGGTAAGTCTTGCAGAAAACCACCCTCGAATACGCACCTTTCGCTCTTCCCAAATACACCATCCCGATCCCGTAAACCTTCCCCTTCACGAAGACGAATCCGCTCTCGTCCGGTTCTTCCCTGTTCTGCGCCGTGACAGATCCGTGGATGTTCACCCTGAAGTCCGCTATCACGAAAATCTCGCATCCCTGTGGGAAGAATTCGTGCAACGGAAATAATTGGTTTTTGTGTAATCATATGAATTAAAATCAATTCGTGACAACAGGAGGAGGATGCAGGGTAGCTTACATAGTAGATGGACCTGGCGCGACCGAAAATGAAGTCGATGGAGCCCTGGATGTAGCAATGGTCGTAGTAATGTCTCCCCTTGTAATCGAACAGGGTGTTGTGGTTGCTGAAGAAGGCGCAGTGGTAGAACGCCGCCCTGTCGTGGCCGACGAATGCCGCCACCGACTGGTTCTGCGACGTGAACGCCTCTCCGACCGGCGCCTCATTCTGGAGGATTAAATCAATGAATTAAAAGAAATACCATCTTGAATCGATCAATTTCATCTATAAATTTCTTTCAATTTTTGTACGCACATGGAAGCTGATTCCGAAGGCAATGAAATTAGGGGATTCGAGCTTGAACGTTGCAGATTCCATGTTGTCCGTCGAGCTTTGAGACCAAGTAATGTGGGTCTTTCCCTTCCCGTTTCCTCTCAAGAATATGTACGGTTTGTTGGCTGGGATGTGTACCTTTTCTCTGTTCGAAATTGATTTCATAACATCGATTAAACCATAATTAGTAATTAAACTACAAATTGGTACCAAATTTGGGGTTGTTTAGGTCTCGATTAACATAATTAATTTACCTGTAAACTCCTTTTCTGATATGGATGATGACCCAGTCAGGATTCATGAGAGGGACCGCATCAATGGCTTCCTGTACGCTCTTGTAATCTCCATTCCCCTCGAGATCGACCTTGATCGTCCGGTTCGTCCCGATCTTCTTGGTCAGCAATTGCGAATCTATCACGGTGTCCGAGGGCGAGGCATCTGCCTTGCCGGAAAGCCAAACGGCGGCCACTAGAATCGTCAGCAGGACGAGGTGGAAGTTAATCGAAGAAGGTGGTGAGAAAGAAACCATTATTTCTTCTTTTTTTCCTTACAATGATCAGTCTTTTTTTTCTTTTTTACTGTTTCATGTGTCGATTGAAGTCTGGAATCAGGCTCATCGACGCAAAGAAAGGGATGGAGTTTTTGTGTTTTTTAAAAGGAAGCCAGAAGATTTCAATGGGGTTCGTTACATTGGAGAAATGAAAAGAGGTTAGAAAAAAAATTGGACGATGCAGAATTGCAGCGGGAAAAGTTTGGTTGAGAAGGGTTTCCCTATATTTGGAGGGAAGATGTCAACGGAACGTGGAAAAACTAGAGAAACAGAATCTGCAAAATAATCAAGAAAGAAAAAGGAATAGAACGGTTCGAAATTACTGTTTCGTCCTAGATTCACGGCGGCAATTTCAACTGTAGCGTTGGGCTTTGGACCATAAAGCATCAGGCTTGCATGATCCAGTAACTTATGGGCCTAGACTTAAGCCCATTGGAAAAAGAAGCAGGGTAGGAAATGGCGAAATGCCAGAGGCATTGTGGTGTTATTAATGAGTCTGACCAAAATCAACAGAGGCAGTTGGTCTACATAATGGAAGATTGGATTTTAAATACATTGTTTGTAACATGGTCAGGAATTGGATTTCTAACTACCCTGTTTCGGAATTACAGGGCTGCGACGCGTCAATCCATATCGACTCAGGAAACGGGAGCTACCTTTACCAAACGGAAATGGCTTCGAGTAAGAATTTCGAAATCCGGAAAAGGGAAGTGATCGGCTTCCTGAAATCCATTGTGGAAATTGTGTGTCCTGAATCAGTTTCCTGCGCCGATTTGATCGTATTAGCAGCTCGCGAAGCCGTTGCCTTATCCGGAGGCCCGTGGATTTCACTACCGTTAGGAAGGAAAGATTCGCCTCTTCCGGCGAGCTACGAGCTCGCAGATGCTCTGCTTCCGTCGCCGGCGATCGGCGTCGACGGGATGCTGAAACTCTTTGGTCGGATTGGGTTGACCGTTGAAGAATCCGTGGCTATTATGGGTAATTCTGACTTCTGAGTCATTCTTGGTTTTGAAGTAAAAGAACCGGTGTTTGACTTTATTTTATTGGACTTTTTTAATAGGTTCCCACTCGCTAGGGGTGACTCACTGTGCGAACATCCCGACCCGGGAAACCGGGTCCGGGTCGATCTGCCAGCCGCCGGGAGGCTCGTTGTTGTCGTCGTCGCTGTCGAATTCGAGCTTCGTGCAGAACGATCCTACGGCCGTGGTCTTCGACAACGAATACTACGTCGGTGCGATGCTGGGACGCGGGGTGCTGAGGGTGGACGAGGAGATGGCCAAGGAGGAGAGGACGGCGAGGTTCGTCGGGGGTTTCGCCGCCGACCAGGGGGAGTTCTTCCGTGCGTTCGGTTCGGCGTTTGTGAAGCTGGCCGGGAAAGGAGTGCTGACTGGGAGGCAGGGGATGGTGAGGAAGGAATGCGATCTAGTCGGGAACTGATGATCAAGAGAGGGAATAATTCGATTTATTGGGATTAATTTGGTTGACCGGGTCGTTAATTGATCTCCTGTTGCACTGTGTCGTTGATGAACTGTGGTTCAATTGAGGTGATTAAGCTTTTGATTGTGGATTTGGGATAGTGATCAAATGCAGACTGAGGGGGCATATACCAAATGGTTTGTAGTAATCGTAACTTATTTTTATTTCTTTTGTTGTTACAGATTCGACAATTCTTTTTAGTTACGAGGTATTTGAGAAATAAGTTATGTGCTTGAATAGAAAAAAAAATGTTGATGGATAATCTTTTGTATGACATATTTGGACAAAATATACTTTATATTTTGATCGATAAATTGATCGATTTACAATATTATTAACATGTACAATCACGTCACTCTTTGTTGTTTGCGTAATATAGATTTAACGCTTAACCTAATTATTTTCAATAATTCCAACCGTCCAAAGTATGTGTGCACACTCTATGCGGTATGTATTGGGTATATAATAGTAAGAAGGATGATATAATGAAAGTTTTATCTATTTTGCTAAATAAAAATTATTCTAGTCAAATATATGTCAAACCTAAACTAAATCTAAATGATACAAAGGTTGAATTCAACTTTACTTTAACTTCCTCCCACAATTATCCGTTTTGCTAATCAAAATATCCCGGGGCAGTATCGTCCAAAACAGAAAAACAAATTAGGTTTTAGTTTTACTAATCCGAAAAGGAAAGAGTTTCACGGAAACGGAATCACCTGCGTATATATAAGTAGAGGAAGACAGAGTGAAACGTCTTCCGGACTCCACGAAGAAATTGGCAAGCTTTTAGGGCGAAGAAGAATTCCCAAACAGCGAGCGAGCTTTCTTTCGCTCTTCGATTTCAATCTTCGGATCTTGAAAGTAAACAATGTCGCCGTTCTGGAAGCAAGCAAGCCTCCTCCGCCGCGGCCTGGGCATTCTCGGGGAGCAGTCCGTCCACCCCGCGCCGGAAAAATCGCGGTTGCTCGACGGCGGCGCGAAAGAAGAGGAGAAACAGAACGCGGTGGAGAAGGAAGAAAAGGCTGCGGAATTCATCAATTCGCGTCGCGGCGGCGGAGGCGTTCGCTCGATGTTGAAGAAGCTGCTGTCAATTGGCGGCGGGGAGAAGAAGGCGAGGAAGAAGGGGGCGCATCTGGCGGTGTACATCGGCGCGGAATTGCAGCGATTCGATGTCCCAATCGAGTACTTCCGCCACGAAGGGTTCGCGAAGCTGCTGCTCGAGTGCCGCGACGCCGACGCGCTGGATTTCAACATCAACCTGCCGATCGAGATCGAGTCGTGCTCGGTGGAGAGGTTTCATCGGGTTTGGAGAGGCGCCGTCGAGGAGGAGAATGCTCTCCGGCGCCGGCGGTGGCGGCTGTAGTTACGTTGGTTTGAAATTAGGGTTTTCTAATTTCTTTTTGTTTCCGGTTGTAAATTTTTTTATCAGCAATCTGGAAACTGTTGATTAAGAGACCTCTGTAAATGCAATCTTTGATTCGCTACGCGATTAGTAAAGTTGTGGTTGAGTCATAATTTTTTGTATGTCGGATTACGATGCTCTGTTCTATTGCGGGAGTGGAACGAGACTAGTCAATTTGAGTCAACGACTGAACTAACAAAAGAATCAGAGAATTGAGTCGCAACAAACTCAGACCTTCCTAGGGTTGAATATTTGGGCTTGGTTAAACAACGTTGCCTATCGGGCCCGTTATCCAAATAAAAGTTTCTTTATGTTGGTTGTCTTTATCAATATAAGGTTGAAATAGGAAATAAGATACAAAATAACTCTTAAATATTCCATCGAATATTCCATCGAATATTGGGTAATTATCATAAATGATAACAAAACTATTGACTTTGTACAAAATGGTCACAAACCTTTAATTTTGCACGTTTCAGTAACAAATGTTTGGACAAATAACAAAAACGTAATTCCGTCCATCTCCATCCAAAATACTGTTACTTCCGTCCAATCAGCACGCCATGTCATTTAAGATATTAATAAAAAAAATTAATGACCAAACCAAATTGAACTCTAACCCAACCGAAAACCCTAATTCTATACCCACCCACCCGAATTCAACGACCTCGGTGGCGCCTGGATTGTCGAGCTGTTGTTCGTGGACGAGGAGGTCGTCGTTGGGATTTTGGGGATACCACCGACTGAGACGCAATCGTCGGGACGGTGCCGGCAATAATGGCCTACTCCATTATCCGTCTTCTTCGGTCCTTCAAATTATCTCATTCCCCATCCCAGCTATAACCATTCTCATCGAATCCCCAACTATGCAAATCCTCATCTTGTGAGTAGAGAAGAAGATCGACCAGTGAGCATCGTGCAACTACATCCCGCCGCTCACCCCAACTCCATCCAAAAGTGCCTCCAATTCCTCTCGCCTCCAATTCTGAGCATCTGGTTGTAAGCGATTCAACACCCAACAACAATCAGTGGAGGCGAACGGTGGCCGGCCGGCGTTTGGTTCAATCTGCGATGGGAGCAGGGGAGGCGATCTGCGGCGGACATTTGGTACGCCGGCGATGCGACCAGGGGAGGCAATCGACGGCGGGGAGTTTCTTTGGGTCGGCGGCTGGGAGCTGAATCGTCTACAATCACAGAGGAAAGCGAGTGTTTCTGTCTACGAGATTTCGGTTTGGTTGGGTGGGTATGGAATTACGGTTTTGGTTGGATTATCAGTTGAATTGGTATGGTCATTTTTTTATTAATATCTTAAGTGACGTGGCATGCTGACACGATAAAATTAACGGTTTGTTGGATGGAGATAGACGGAATTACCTTTTTGTTATTAGTCCAAACATATGTTACTGAAACGTGCAAAATTAAAGATTTGTGACCGTTTTGTATAAAATGAATAGTTTTGTTACCATTAATGATAATTACCCATCGAATATTCGAATTTGATTAAAATGTAATTAATATTATTTTTTTAAGTGTGACTTTATCAAAATTGATAAAAAGTAATGAGTTTGGTGAGTTTAATATTTTAAATATCTACACTAAATTCATCCAAATATGTGTTACAATTATGATTGAGAAATACTAACTTTAACGATTCGATCATCCATATCCACAAGTACTTTCATCGATTTTGTAAGGATCCAATAGAATACAGAACAATAAGTTTTAATCACACTGAATATCAAAATCACCCAAGTTAGCACTTAGTAAGTTGAATTGCATTCATATGAGGATCGAAGTCGGGATTCTTATGCTCATTTACCACACATTCTTAATAAGTTAGTTTATTTGCACATAGGTCGTTATTGATTTGCACATAGGTTAATAAGTTGCCACTGTCCTAGATTCCTAGTCATTATTAATTTGCACATAGGTCACAACTCACAACAATCAAAAGCCACCACAGGATGCAAATTTGGCTGAAGTTACTCACAGTTCAGTCCCTTCCTTTAAGATTTGTTTATAGATATGAATATAACAAATAAAGCACTAAGATATTAAAAGTATTGTTTGATTGTACATATTAAAACATTTATTGAGGAAAAAAACAATGCAGATCTTCAATTCCTTGCCACTATTAGAATTTCAACCACTAAGGGGTCGTTTTCTTGTTGGATTTGGGTCATGAATTTGGTACCCAAATCCCAAGTTTGATGGATTTAACATAAGTCCATTGTTTGTTGAAGGGTGCTAAATTCGTGGGATCCATGAATTTGGTCTTTATTTTGGAACCAAATCCGTGGACCCCACGGACTTGTAAATCCCACATATTGGGATTTGCAAATCCTTTATGGTTAGTTATTTATTAGCTAAATTACACGTTTGGTCACTCAAATTATACTAATCTTTCACGTTTGCCACCCGAATCACTTTTCTTTCTTATTCGCCACTAACTTTACGAATCGTTTCATCATTAGTTACTGGCCGTCCAATTCCGTTAAAATCATCCTACGTGGCAGTCAACTAGCCTCTTTGACCGTTAGTTTGATGATGTGGCAATTAAAAAATTCAAAAAATAAATTTTAAATTAAAAAATATTCATCTTCCTTAAACTTCTCTCCCCCCTCCTTGAATCCAATCGAACTCCTAATGATCATCAATTCGTATATAGATCTGAGGCATGAATAGCTGTGGAGTGGCGGCGCCGGCGCCGATCGGCGCTTGTAGATATCTTCAATGTGTAACTCTCTCTCCTCGCGTCCATCACTACTTCGCGATTGACCTACAGATCTATACATCCTCCTTTACTTTCCTCTTAGCTACTTTCGCAGGCGATGGCAACGACGGAGATAAGGAGTGGGCACATGCGGAGACGGTAGATCTACCGGAAGCAGAGGAGGAGGTGCATCTGACGGATCCACTACCGCCATCACTTCCTCCTCCTTCGTTACCGAAACCGTATCCACAAAAACATCCTTCTCTTTCTCTTTCTCTTTCTCCTTCACGTTCGCCACTGACATTTCTTCTTCCTTAGCAACCTCGTGGTGGAGGGTAAGTGCCATAGCCGCCTTGTCCTTGCTCCAGGACTCAGAGATCTGACCAAACTTCTCCCCGGAGCTCAAATCAAACCCGACGTTTCCAAGCTCGTCAGTTGATGGGTTTACGGTGGAAGCCGGTCCCTGGAGATTCTCCGAGCGCTGTGGCTCTGTCTGTGTACCTTTCGGCTTAGCCGGAGATGGCGGTGATGTATTCGGCCGATTCTGAATTGTTTCGGATTTCCGCTCCAATTAGATGGGGACATTCTGGAAAAGGTAGGTCGGAGAATCAAACCCTGATGGAAGCCATGGACATCCTTGTCCTCATTCCCCGCCACCTTATTGCTGAAGTCCCCTCTGGACGGAAACAGAGGACTAGCTATCTGCATTTTATTCCGCCACTGGGGCATGAATGATAAATCACATTTACTTTCCTTGCTTCTTGAGTGGGATTCAATATTTAGCATCAAGTATTTAAAGCCTCTAAATTGAATTAGAATGGCCTCTCTATGGATTCGAGGAGAAGTGTTGCGGGAGAAGAAGTGGAAGGAAGAGAAATATTTTTAATTTTAAAATTAATATATATATATTTTTTAATTGCCACGTCATCAAACTAACGGTCAAAGGATTTAGTTGACTGCCACGTAGGATGATTTTAACGGAATTGGACGACCAGTGACTAATGATGAAACGATCCGTAAAGTTAGTGGCGAATAAGAAAGAAAAATGATTCGGGTGGCAAACGTGAAAGATTAGTATAATTTGAGTGACCAAACGTGTAATTTAGCCGTTATTTATTTAACAAATCCATCACAAATCTATCATGCAAACATTAGACTTTTCAAATCCATAATCCAATAAATCCAACATAAATCCCAAGGTTTTTGTTGGCCAAAGCCCTCATTTTTCAAATCTAACAAGCAAACGACCCCTAAGAAATAGCAAATCAAATGCAATTCACCCACTAAAATATCTAACTAATCTAATCTATTTAGAAGTCATTTTCCGATTCGATTTAGTATCAATCTATAAATTCACAATGCATAAATCTTCAAAAAGAAATAACTATTGAAAATGAGTTTAATTTCAACCCTAGTTCTCACTTCTCCTCAGAAATATTACACAATTCTTCAGAATTTTATTTATCTATTTCCAATTTCGAATAATTAAACAAATAGGTATTTTAACTTTACTAATCCGAATCGGAAAAACGAATTCATCTTTTCCGAAACAGCCACGGTCACGGAATCACTTCCGCACCTATAAATATCGAATCCCACCAAACAGAGTGAACTTCCATCGACACTCAGCAAGAAAATTGGAAACGAAGAATTTCCAACTGCGAGAGAGAGATCGCTTTCCTATTCGATCGATTTCAGTAATCAGTAGTTAGGCCGGGGGTAAAAAAAATGGCTCCCTTGTGGAAGAAGCAGCAATCAAGCGGCGGCGGCTTTCTCGAAGACCAGTCCTTCGATCCCGAGCCAGAGAAATCACGGTTGATCGTCGACGGCGGCTGGTACGGTGCGAAGGAAGACGAAGAAGACGACTCCGGCGGTCTTGGCGCGATGATGAAGAAGCTGCTGTCGATGGTCGGCGTGAGGAGGAAGAGAGGGCTGACGGTGTACATCGGCAAGGGATTGAGGAAGCGGAAGATCCCGTCCAAGTACACGTCCTTCGAGGGTTTCCTGCAGATACTGCGGGAGTGTACCGACGCCGACACGTTGGATTGGAAGTGCTGCCAGCCGTTCGAGATCGAGTCCTGCTCAGAACAGAGGTTCCGCGATACTCTGAGAGCCGCCGTCGAGGAAGAGGAGATCCGGCGGCGATACCGGCTGTAGGAGGAGAGTAATTAGTTACTAATTGGTTTGGCTTAGGGTTTTTTTGTAATCTTTGTCCCACAATTTTTTAATTCACATCTTGTAAATTGCAATTTGTTTTACGCTTTACAGTTAGTAAACAATTTGTGCTTTGGAGGTTAGTTCATGGTTGTTATTAATAACCTTGATGGTCCTACTCCTGAGTCTGATCAATCTTAAAACAAATTAAAGAGCTTTTATATTTTTTTGTGGCTCCAACCGTCGATTGTTTGCTTTAATAATTTTTTTATACATTAATTTAAATATCATGAAAACCGAGGTATAAAGAACTGCAATATTGGTGCCAAATCCAATCCAGAAAGCTTTGCTGATAAGTTGTAAGAATGAAGTGTGCATTTACCCTACCGGTGGAGCGTTTTTTTTATGGACCACAAGTCCACAATTCTTAACGTCCTGGGCTATTGGATAATGGGCTTGTTTAAGGTCATTCCGTACTGTATCCATTCTTCGTCTGTTTCCCCAATTAAACGGCCCGTTGTTTATTATTTATGCTAGTCCACATAGGCTGGGACAGCATGGAAGTTAGGAGTGGGCAACTATCCGGTTTATACCGGATCGTATCATACTGAATCGAATATATTTCGTTTTGGTTTTGGTCCTATAAATTATTATAAGTATATAAAAGAAATGGATCGAGCGCACTGAGTCGAATCAAATGAACCAAACATGCTTTTAAATGTTAATCCGGTTCTGTTCCTCATTTTTCCTTTGTTTTTTGTCCGGTCCTAAGTCTATTTGATCCAATTATGAAGTAAATCGACCGATGCCCACCCTACTAGTGGTTAACCGTGCTTTAATTATAGGATTTGGTGTTCCAATTCTGCCTATATGAATAGAGGTCACATTTTTGTCCTAATTCATTGTCTCGTTTAATCCCTCGTGATGAGAGATTAGTCATTGGCATTAGTGATTGATACCCTAGTAATACACAAGGGGCAAAAAAAAAAAAAATACTAATGTGCATAGACTTGATGATGTTTTTTATATTGTCCATTTAAGTTTTTTGAATTTCTCTATTATAAATAAACGCGAGCGAACGTATCTTATTGTTCATTCAAAATCTACCAAAAGTCTTGAAAAGCATCTGATCAGTTCTACGTTAAACTACGAGATGACGATTACATCTGTCGAACTATCGTGTCAGTCAATGGAATGATGGATGGTAACGTAGCTACTGGTCTACAAGTCAAACCAAAACTTGCTCTCATAATAACTCCATCGGCATGACAACGGAACTCATGATAACAAATGATGAAACAACCAACGTGTGGGAAGTTATGGCTGATGAAACAAAACGATCAACTTATACACCAGAACAAAGAAAAGGAAAGCTTGCTAAGATCAGCCATGTGCATGGTGCAGTGATAGTTCCGTCGTTCTTCACAGTTAGAGATTCGGCGGGGGAGATGAAGAAGTATTAATACAGCAGTAGTAATTGTCGTGTCGAAGTCATTTCATATTTTTCATTACCATCTGTGGAAAGAACATTATAGTAAATCCCTAAAATGGTCTGTGTGTTTCAGCTTTTTTGATCATGAAATATCCAATCCAATGCCGCCACGCCGCCATTAATGGCTCGTTGTTTGCCCTGATCATGGACATGGCGTCAACAGTGTAATTACCTTTCACTTGCTTAAAATGAAGGGTTTATGAAGTTAGTTGAAGGGACCCCGGTTAGGTTACAAGATGGAGCTTTCCTTGTTTGATTGGTTTGGTTTCTGGCTAGGTATCCTTCTTTTCAAGTTCCTGATCACAGTTCACAGATAGTTTGTTAGGAACTTAAAATTGGTAGTTACATATATAACTCAAGTTAGAAGATTTCCATCGATGTTGAAATTTTGGGTACCCACCATCGACGACACTGATTAATACGTTTGTAACATGTTATTGAAACGAGGTATATAGGAGTGGAAAAGTGCACGGTAGCATTTGAAACTGGAATTGTCATGTTGAATATCATTAGGAACTTTTTTAGTTATTGGAGATCATTGTAGGTCTCATGAAAGTTGAAATCAGTGAAGTCAACTACGCTCATGTTTGGGCTTTCTCTTCATCCCTAGGTTAGCCTATATCCTCTCTACTCTAAATTCCACTTCATTTATATGTGTCGTCACCAGCAATTCAAAGTGGGTTAAACGTTAAAGAAGTGAGAATTTGATTTACCACCATCTTCTCCACATGGTAAACTTGTAATGTTCACAAACCTAGCAACAAGTAATCAAAGTTGTACCTTAAAATGTGGTTACATGTTGGGTAGAAACCCTAATGAAGCAGCCTCTATTGATGAAGAAAAAGATACTTCGAAAATAAAACTCCATTATCAGTTAGTTGAATAGATGATTAATTAAGAATGATTGACGTGTAAAATAACCGATCAACTTTACATTTCCATGAAAATTATGATGAACGACGCAGAGTATCATATAGTCAGTCCCCTCTGAAGCGTTCCAAATGGACCATTAGTCTTGAATCTTGATTAAATGCTTTAATCAATCACGAACATGTAACACTAACAAGAGTCTTTCTCAATTAGTCGAGCTAAATCCAATCCATTTTCCTAAACATTTATACAAATGCATCACAAGCGTACCTTTATTCATAAATCAATGAACAACACTAGAAATTACTACGATTTAAATACGGGAGCTATGTCGAACAATAACTATAATTTGAAATCAAAGTCAATTCTTGATAAATTGTGGTAGAGGTTTTCAGTTTTCACCTTCAGCAACAAATACGGGGTCGTTTGCTTCAAGGATTTGGTACAAAAAAAACCAACTATCAAGGATTTAGGTACAATCCGTTGTTTGCTTGCACCTTTTTTGGAGACCAAATCCGTGGGGCCCACGGATTTTAAGGGTCCAAATCCGTGGACCCCACAGACTTATAAATCCCACATGTTGATGTGGGATTTGGAATATGGCATAAATCCTTGATGAGATTTTACCCATATACCCTCATGCACTTTTAATATTCCAAGGTTGCCCTCAAATTTAACTATTATACATTATAATTAACAATAAATAATATAAACGTTCAATTAATGTGCAAACATGAGTTAGATTTTTTATATCATTTCTTGTGTTCTAGTTTTCTTTGACCTTTTCATGGAACGTGTAATTCTTTGTTCTCCCGATTCTAATATATGTTGTTATATGTCACTTTTGAAAAGGAGGACAAAGAATTGGTAATTGATTATGTTACGTTAAAAGTTAAAACGAAATTTTCTCGTTTATTATTATTGTCCATGTGGCAACATTATGCTTATTAGTATGTATTGTCCTTGTTTTGTGTACATATCATAAACATGTCAAACATATAGAAAATGATAGTAAGGTAATTTTGAAGTTTTGTCCTTCTTTTGTGTACATATCATAAACATGTCAAACATATAGAAAAGGGCAATAATGTAATTTTTTACTTTAAGGAGTAAATCTCCACCTTTAAACTCATGATAAAAACATTCCAACAAACAAAGGATTGTTACAAATCCATGATGCCTCAAATCCTTGATAAATCCTTGGGTTTTTAAATTACAAAACCCTCATTTTTAAATCCCATGAACTTTTCACTTTCCACCAATGAATTCCTAACAATGCAACCCCCCATCCAATTGAGCTATCAATTGTCTGCAAAATTCCTCAATCCCATAGTTCTTCTCTTCTTCAAAATCAACCCCCGATTGTCTCTCTTACCAATAGAAACACGTTTTACCATAAATTCAAGACACCTTCACGTCACATGTAGTTGTTTTTGCAGCCACATTAAATTCCTCCCCACCTCTTCCTAATTCCTAAACCAACTGTAACCATCTAGCTCGTCTCTATATAACGCAAGATAAAAAAAGCCACCCCCTGTAGCCTCGTAACTGAAAACAGAGCATTTTTCTCAAACACCAGAAATGAAGAGCATCCGAGTTTTCTCCCTTCTCCTTCTAGCAATCCTGATTCCATCAGGATTAATCGGTCCGGCCGGCGCCGACGGTCTGGCCACCTTTGTGTTCGGCGACTCCTTGGTGGATCACGGGAACAACAATTACATCGTTACACTCTCAAGGGCAAACTACCCACCCAATGGGATCGATTTCGGTCGGCCCACCGGTCGGTTCACCAATGGAAGAACCATCGTCGACATTCAAGGTGTGCTTGCTTAATTACTAAACTATCCTTCTCTTCTTTAATTTCTTGCTGTATTGGGTCTCTGAGATGAAGAAAATATTTTTTTAAAAAAAATTGAAATGTTTTCAGGTGAGGTATTGAGTGGAGGGAGTTTAGTTCCTCCTTACTTGGCTCCCACTACCATATGGCCGGCGACTCTTCAAGGCGTCAACTATGCTTCCGGCGCCGGAGGGATCCTCAATGACACCGGAAGGCTTTTCGTAAGTTTAGTTCATGACAAGATAATTTTTGTAATAAGAAATGTAATAGTGATCACATTATAAAAAAAATGTATATCTAGGTATTTTTTTAGGTTGTTGTTGATAATTTTGAGTGCTTCTTGAACAGGGTGGTAGGATCAGTTTGGACGCTCAGATTGACAACTTCGCCAACACAAGGCAGGACATTATAGCAAGAGTCGGCCCGGACCAAGCTCGGAATTTTTTCGACAAGGCGATGTTTGCTATTGCAATCGGGTCGAACGACTTCATCAACAACTATCTGATTTCCGCTGACAGATTGGTCCCTCCGGAAATATTTGTCACCGCCATGATCAATAGGTTCAGACTCCAACTCACCGTAAGTAGTTGTTTGTGTGACCCTCACGAGTCAAGCTAAAGAATTTTGGACCGACTTGAACCATGTCGATCAAATCGATCCATTCGATCCCAACCCGGTCCCTAGTTTGATTATTTTATATTGATTTAGGCCGGAAACTCCGACTCTATTTTTCCGGTCAGTCGAAAACCAAACTGATAGTCTAGTCTTGTCGGATTATGCTATCGGGTTGGAACATAATTGGCCATATCGATCTCGGTTACTTTGTGTTAGTTTTTTATCATCAGTTTAACCGAAAATCGATAAGCCGTTATCGGTTAATCGAACCGCCACCCTTATTCTGGTTTGATGTTTCGGTTCAGGTTCACTAATTTTTTTCCTTCCAAACCACCCATTTTTTTCGGCAGAGGTTGTACGAATTGGGCGCCCGGAAGATCGCCGTGATGAACATCGGCCCAATCGGCTGCATCCCCTACCAGAGAGACGTCAACCCAACCGCCGGCGACGACGACTGCGCGGCTCTCCCCAACGAGTTGGCTCAGCTCTTTAACTCAAAACTGCGGACACTCGTTCAGCAACTCATCACCGAAAGTCAAACTTTCCCCGGCCTCCATCTGGTCCACGGGGAAGCCTTCCGCATCGTCAGCGACATCATCGCCAACTACGCATCGTACGGCTTCGAGAACGCCAACTCAGCGTGCTGCCGCGTGGCGGGCCGGCACGGCGGTCTGATCCCCTGCGGCCCGCCGTCGTTGGTTTGTCCCGACAGGACCAAGTTCGTGTTCTGGGACCCGTACCACCCGTCGGAGGCCGCGAATTTGATCATCGCCGGGCGGCTGATGGACGGCGGCGCGGATGACATCTGGCCAATGAACGTGCGCCAGCTGGCTGCGATTTGAGGAAAAGGGGAATTAATTTTTATTTTATCTAATATCTATGGTTTAGAATTGTGGGATCCGGAGAATAAGAAAAATTGTAGGGTGACAAATTGGTTTGTGAGATCTTCATAGCGCGACATAAGAGTTAGTGAGGTTTGGTAAGGGGAAAACTTGAATCGGACCGTTCAGTGGAATTTCATTACTTGTAGTCTGCTAGTCTTCAGTCTTCACCAACCAGTGAATCTTCTGTCCCTTTCTAATTATTCTGTTTGGACCATCCGAGGAAACTGTGAACCAGAGCCTAACAATTTTTTTTTGAGCCGATTGAATTTGCTTTTAACTCACATTTGTGGGTAATTCGCTTCAGTAAACGAGAGGAACTCCGACATTTGATCGGATATGTGATGTCTATGGATAAATACTCTAAATGAAGTTGTGGAGATCGGTTGAAAATGAGTTTAGACGCTCTGCCTCATCTCATAACCATCCCGGATTCAATTTTTATGTAACGTATGCCTAAAACACACATCGTCTCACTCTCTCCTCGATTCTCCACCAAAATTTAAAAGGAGAACAACCCTAACCTCCTTAATTTAAGATTGCCAGTTGATATTGACTCAGCTCATATATGTTACCTCTTAAGGGTTCGGTTAGCGTGACTACCCCTAAAGGGGTAGTGATTTTCGACACCCTCCTTTTGATTGGTCAGTTTTATACTTAATTATTAGACAAGTATTAATGGTTGTCCCAAATAAATATGGATAGAGAAAGAATTAATTGTCATATTAATTATGCAGAGAAAAGGAAATAAACAGTGGGTTCCTCCACTCATAATTATTCATTCCCTCTTACCTTTTTTAATTTCACCGTTTCAGTTACCTTTTTTAATTTCACCGTTTCAGTTTTATACTTTAATTACACCGTACCACTAGGCGGCAGAGGAAATGCACCAATGGACTGGTACATGTACCAGTGGAGTGGTACGTGTACCAGTGGAGTGGTACATATTCACGGCAGTGTCATCGTCATGGAAATATTGTGGTCTCCACCGCTTTTGAAGTTTGGAATTGATTTTATTATTTTTCTTTGTCGTATTATTGGTTAACTTCTTTCAATTTCATGGAAATATCTTTGCCGACGAGTAATGGAATAGAAATGGTCTTCGCACAACTTCAGCGGTAATCATAATACTTCAGTGGTACATATATACTACTGAACTTGTATTATACCACTAGACCGGTATACATATCAATTAACTGGTACTTATACCACTATATTGGTACTTATACCACTGAACTGGTACTAATCAAGACTGTCCTCAATATACCAATACTCATACTTGATCATGAAATATAAATCTGGCACAAGAAACATTTCAATCAGTCAACAAAATAGGAACTTTCCATTAGTAGCCAAAAACTGTGTTCACAATTTTTTTTAAGCCTAAACAGAACATATGGTTACTAGTATCACTCCACTGGTACACGTACCACTCCACTGGTATACGTACCACTCCACTGGTACACGTACCACTCCACTGGTACACGTACCACTCCACTGGTACACGTACCACTCCACTGGTACACGTACCAGTCCATTGGTGCCTCCTGCGTTCGGGAGGAGAGTCCGATCACGTCGTCACCCCCATCATTTGATGCCGCACAAGATTCTCCGTTCTTGGCATGCCCAGAATCGTCGCGCGGAATGTTGGATCCGTCTTCCCTCTCGGTGTGGCCTTCATCTGTTTGATCTCCGGCGATAACCTTGCGTCTTGTCCTCCGACGGCGAGCAACCCACTCGGTAGGTCAGAGGCGATCCCAGGACGGCGGCGGCTGGAGATAGGAGGATGGTGATGGGGGAAGACGCCGGAGGAGTACGACGGTTGTAGGGATGGAGGCGGCACAAGTGGAAGGCATGGATGAAGAGGGTGGAGAGGGGTGATGGCGGCGGCGGGAGGAAGAGGAAGATGAAAATGGGGGAGGCTTCTGGTGAAAATGAAATCAAAATGGAAAGATTTCCAAATGGAGAGAGAAGGAGATGAAAGAAAGACAAAAAATGGCAATTAATTGCACATTTGGGGGGTGCTTTTTCCTGGTTCCCCAAGTTCTTTCCCTTTCCAATGTGGGTGAGAGAACCAAAATTACAAGATTAAAAAAAATAAAAAACAAGTTTAATTAATACTTGCCAATGATTGAAAATAAAACTGACCAATCAAAAGGAGGGTGTCGAACCCCTACCTCTTAACCTTACTTACCCATAACAATTTATATATTCTGCATGTTTTCCGCACTCATCATGGTTAATTTATGACATATGATCGATGTTTGTGTGCCTTTTGAGCACTGAAATTAGACGTGCTTTACATTAATTTCAAGGTGACTTTTGGTCTACGAGTGGAGTGGAGATTTCAGATAGTCTTAGATCTTGCATCTTGTGGAAAATGGCGAACCAGCTGACAAGTGAATTTTGTTTTTCGATCCGATATTAGCGTGGTAATTTGATGTCCACGACGAATGAGTAATGTTAAGGGTTATAGGTATAATATGCCCCTCTACTATGATGTTTTATCAAACATGCCCCTCTACTATTTTTCACAACAAACATGCCTTGTACTTTGACAAAATTATCAAACATGCCCTTCTACTAAAATTTCCATAGAAAAAATCGTCAATCATGGTTGAACCGAGATTTAGACGACCCGGCATCGGCAAATGAGAGGAAAAATATCAGTTTTGTCCCCCGATTTCTTTCTATGGGTCTCTTCAAAGTGAAACTATTTGAATTATTTGGCTATACAAAAGAACCAAAAAATTTCTGGAGTGAAATTATTATGGATATTTTAGACATTTGTGTCGCCCAAACCAAAGTTCGGCATTGGTTAATGATTTTTGGATGAAAATTTTAACAAAAGTGCATATTTGATAATTTTTACAAAGGACAGGGGCATGTTTGACGTAAAAAATAGTAAATAGGCATGTTTGATAAAACATCATAATAGAGGGGCATATTATACTTATAACCCTAATGTTAATTAGGAGCGATCTAACACGTTGGTTGATTACATTAACTAGATTTCTGAGGTTGGTTCAGTCTGTCCACCGCAACTACTATCACTATAGTTAATGGGGAAAAATCCCACTGTACACATGTTTTTAAAAAAAATTCTCAAAATACACATGTTATGAAAAAAATTCCCAAACTACGCATGTTTGGGTCTTCACCGCGTCAGACTAAGTCGGTGATTGCTTCACCGCGTTAAAGAAGGGCGGTGATGCAATCACCGCGTTAGAGAAAAACGGTGATTGCATCACCGCTGTAGACAAAAACGGTGATAGCTTCACCGCGTTCGACGGCCGCGGTGAAGGCCTGACCTGCGTCGAATCTTTAAAAAAACGTAACTTTTTGCTCGGTTATCCGATCGTAGTGAAATTTTTTTTGATTCCGCATAATTTTTCGAGATCTTGCAAGCCGCAAACGCCGTAGGCGGTTTGGTCCCGCCTTCGTCCCGAAAAAACGTCGTTTGCTACCCCGAACGAGCCTTTTTTCGATTTCGTCAAACTTTGGACGACCATAACTTTGTGCTCCACAATCCGAAAATCATGAATTTTTTTTTGATTTTGCATAACTTTTTGAGGACTACAATTTTTATCATAGACATAATTTCGGAATGTACTTGGATTCCTAAAAAGGAAAGGTAAACTTATTCTCAAAACCCTGTATATCCAAAATAATTCATTTTTTGAAAATTCTCTCCTACTAAAAATTGTAGTCCTCAAAAAGTTATGCAAAATCAAAAAAAAATTCATGATTTTCGGATTGTGGAGCACAAAATTATGGTCGTCCAAAGTTTGACGAAATCGAAAAATTATGCGGAATCAAAAAAAATTTCACTACGATCGGATAACCGAGCAAAAAGTTACGTTTTTTTAAAGATTCGACGCAGGTCAGGCCTTCACCGTTTTCCTCAAACGCGGTGATGCATTCACCGCCTTCCTCTACAGCGGTGATGCAATCAGCGTTTTTGTCTAACGCGGTGATGCAATCACCGTTTTCGTCTAACGCGGTGATTCAATCACCGCCTTGGTCAGACGCGGTGAAGGCCCAAACATGCGTAGATTGGGAATTTTTTTCATAACATGTGTATTTTGAGAATTTTTTTTAAAAACATGTGTACAGTAGGATTTTTTCCTAGTTAATGTGACTCGTAATGTTAACAACTGGCAGGGAGCATCAGCGGTGTTTAAGCTGCAACCGTCTTGAAAAAGAAACAAACACATTTTCCCAATGTTTACAGACTAATTAACGCAATTCCTGCAATAGTGGGCAGTTGGTCTGGGTTACTAATGGCGCTCAACTAGCTCATTTACTATCTTAAAGTGGATTATATAGAAATGGTTTGTTGAAGAATGAAGACCAGTATTCATCGGCCGAGTTCCTGGTTTTACGGGCCTAGAAATTGTTGCGCGGGAGATATGGAGCAGATCAGGCTTTGTGATTGAATCATGAATGAGAATGAAGCCCGCCGATCTGTGATATCATAAACGAAAAGAAGAGTACTGGATAAATGTCTATTTCAGGCCCAAGTGAAGCCCATTCCCAAAGTGGACGCGTGCTTTTAGGCCGAGTCTTGTTGGGCTTTCAATGCCCAAAACGCCCGCAAACAAAGGAATTTTGACAAATTATGGATTTTGAAGTTGATTAATGAGCTCAAAACACCAGGCCAACTGGCCAAGGTTCATCGTGTGGGCTGGCTGATTCACCAGATTAGTAACTGGTTAGCATAATTAGACCGACCAGCCACTCAATATTCACTTTCGGGTTGCATCGGTCGGATTGTTGTTGGTGGTAGTGTTGATTATGGGTTGACTCGCAAAAGTCATTCTACAATTGGACTTTAGGTTGATTGACTGAAATATACAATCACTATATACAAGCTAGAAGTATTGTAGTAATTTAAGTACTCTTGCTTTGTCTCAAGTGGGTGAAAAAGTACTTGTCATGACGTTTATTATATCTCGTAGCAAAATTTGATTTCATCAGTGAAGTATTCACTAACAAGAAAAGTCACTAACTACATGTTCTTAAAGAAGTGAGACTCTTCAAATGTGCATTATTTGCTTCTTTGGCAGAGATATCCCTTATTTGTATTACTTCATCAACCGATTGCATAAAAATTTATGTGTGTTGTCACTTGAGCATGAATAATTGTTCGTAGATTTGTATTTCAACATCTAATTAACATCAAACAACATAATAGCCAATAGTAGTATCCTTGAAATATCATTTATTTTTATCACAATTGAGGTCGATGGTCTTTGTGGTTGGTATAAGGACTATTTTATATTGTGACAGATTTTTGGGATGTAAGAGCGAGGTTAAGGTCGCTCAGATGAGCCGCACCCCATTTACCACAATGCGGATAGGAGAAATACATATACCCACCACTTATTCCCATCAAACCTGCAAAGCTGCAATGATTCAGATTCTTTACGAGTGACAAAATCGATGGTAGCCTTGGTTCAAGGAGATTATGATCATCCGTAACATTAGGGGCTTAGCGGGCTTACAACTCCGTCGTGTTCGCAAAAATAAATTTCACTTCATAATTAGTCGTTATACTTTGTATGATCATTCACAACAATATATTAGCCAGTATTGTTGTCAATAGAAGCTCTGACAATCATAACGATAGTTGTGTTGTGCAGTGCATTATACCAGTTTACAACTTCGGATGAACACAACGAGGGCAAATGATTAGTCTACTATTGCTGGTATTGCCCTTTTGAAAGCAAGCTACCAACACATTTTGCAATTTGCAATCATTAGATAGGGTTAGACAGAGAGATCGAGTCTGTAGAAATATTAAACTTAAATGGCAATTAGATACTTGATCTTCTTCCCACCATTAATGAAAGGTACCTGTCCTCCCCAATCAACACATCCATCACCAACCATAAGTTGTTAACAAACTAGCAGTGGCAGCAATTTCTCTCTACATTTTGATTTGGGATGATCAGAAGTCAGATGGAAGAGAGCATCAATGGAGATTTACCCAGATCGACATATCTTTCTTTTGGTTGTGATTTCGAACTAAAGTGGAAAAGGAAAGCTCGAATTATCTACAGAAACAAGAACCCTAATGCAACTTTACCTTTGGCTGGAAAGCATACGAGTCGCCGTTTTCAAGTAGAAGCCTTCTTCTCCTTCTTTTTCGTCAATCCCAGAATCTGCTTTAGTTTCCCGAAAAGGATCTTCACGCCTCCAGTTTTCTTCTCCTTCTTGGCCGGCCTTTTGTTCTGCTTACCCTCCACCGAATTAGACGCCACCTTCTCGCCCGCCACCTGCTCGACGAAATTCCCCACAGGAGCCCCTGTTCTCGCAAACGCAGCGGCCAGCTGCGGCATCAGCTGCTTAATCCCGGCCTTGAATTTCTCCGACGGCTCGCCCTTCCCAGGAACCAACGACAACCCACCAATCCCGTAGTACCCAACTCTGCACTCCCCGTTCTTATACGCCACCATCGCAGACAGAATCGCCAAACCCCTCTCCCTAAAATGGGACTCCACAAACACCTCAAAGTTCTTCGGCGGCCTCCGCACCAGATGCAGCATCGTCTTGCAGGAAAGCAAAAACGCATCCTCACTGTAAGCGTTCGATTTCTTGTCCCAGAACGGTTTCCCGGGCCACAACCCGACCCCCGGCTCGTTGTAGTACGGCTTCTCGTTCAGCACCAGGGCCTGAATCGAGATCAGAACCTGGAGAATCGTCGATTCGGCCGGGTTCCACTTCTCGTTCTTCTTGCCGCTCCATGTGTTGATCAGGCTCAGGCAGACCCGCCCGTTGGCGTACAGGTTCGGGTTGATCCGCATCCCGAACGACCTGTAGTGGACCCACGGCGGCGATCTCGGGTAGTCGACAGGGAACCCAATGTCGAAGAAGTAGAGGCCGTCGTGGTACGGCGTCCCCTGGGCTCCGACGACGGCGGCGGTCATGAGATCGATCCGGTTCTCGTAGACCCGAACCGCGATCGTCTCCGGCAGGTGCTTCTCCAGGATCTTCCACTCCTGCATAATCTTCTTGTGCACGCCGCTGGAGAGGTTCGTGAAGCAGCTCCCGGCCTTCTTGTTGTGGGTCAAGTAGGCGTGGTCCGATGAGTCCGTCGCCACGTCGAATCGGGGGAAACCGGCAGAGCTGCTGCCGCCGTTGGCGCCGGCGAGATGAGGGGGCATTTTGGGGAGTTTGGCGAGTTGGTTGGGGGTCTCGCGGCGGAATTCGAGGGGCGTGAAGGTAAAATTACAACTGGCGGAGCAGAGGAAGGAGGAGTGTTTGTTGGACTCTTTCCCCTGCTGAGAGTAAGATGGAGACGAAAGAGAATTGGAATTCGTTTCGTCTCTTCTGTATATATATGGCGCATTATGATATGATGGTAGGGAAAAAGCCAGAAGAGGCGCTAATCTTTTTGGGATTAGGACAACTCCTCCACTTAGGTCTCGTTTGGCAAATCCGTAATGACTAATGAGAACTAACCCAAAATTTAAATAATTCGTGTATTTTATAAATGGACGAATTATATAATGGTTTCAATAAATTCAAAGGTTTCGATATATATTATAAATATTATAGCTAATGCAGTTAAAATCGCGATTTTATGTATAATTGATTTGGTGACTTAGAAGTGTAGAAGTGTAAGTTTTTTAGTTTTAAATCATTAATTATACTTGAAGCGTTTTGGTGATTTAAAAGTATAAAAAATGTAAGTTTTAAAGTTTTAAAATACGATATTGACTACATTGATTATACCGAGTGCAAAGTACATAACATTGCTATCAAAATTATACAAAAAAATATGTTCAATATAGGAAAAAAGAAATGTATTTTTGGAATCATGTACATTATTTTAAAACTGCCTCGAAATATTCTGTTTAAAAACAAAAATACAATTTGTAAGGGAATTGATGAAATTCTGAGTTTGTTGAATGGTGAGTTGACCGGTGAGGACTGAGGACTGAGGACCCTCCTTTTCTTTGTTAGAACTTAGAAGGAATGGACGGTGATCCAGGTAGTCATCGAAAAAGAAAAAGCCCAAAATATATACTGTGGGGCCCGACAGGTATCATGATTGAAGAACAGTTGTGGCCCATTTGATATGGTCTTTCTAATCCATTGCAAAACATAAATTAAAAATATAGATAATTAAATTAGAAAACGAACAAATTGATATACCCACCCGACCCTAAAAAATCCGGTAAAAAAAAGTAAAATTCCCCTATGTAAATAGGAATGACAATGGAACAGGTCCGTGGTGGGTTTCTGGATACTTAGATCCGCCTTGTGGCAGGACGGGTAATTGATCACGGGTCGGGGGTCGGGGCAGGTCGACCCAATGGGTATGCAATTTATATGAAAAACATTAGAAATATTCGTTATTTTTATTATAAGACTAAGAAAAAAACAAACAATATTATGACAATTGTAGTTAAATTATTGGGAAAAGGTTTTGACTCATTTACAACTTTATTATAGCTAAAATATGATGCAATAAAAGGAAAATTCAAAGTAATTTGACTAAGATTACATGTAATATAGACAAGAACGGGTCGAGAATGGGACGGGTCAGGTCGGGTCGATGAGACTACCCATGCTCGCCCCGCCCCAAAACAGGTCAAACAGGTCGGGTAAAACGGCTTAGGTCGAAATTGCCATTCCTATACGTAAATACTATTTAAAAAGTGACATAGAAGGAATTAGTAGGAAAATGAACCAAACCCATTAGGGTTTGGATAATTTTTTTGGGGTGAAATGGGTTTAATTCGACTTTAATTTAATTTAATATACAAATTCATTGATTCAATGTTTTAATTTTAACATTAACTGATTTGTAAATTAGTGAATACCATTTGATTTGTCAATTAAAAGATCATGGACGAGAAAACAATATTTTTTTTTAATAAACCCGAAATTACTGGTAAAAATAAATATGTCCCCCAATTTTTAGGGGTTGCGTTTGGGTGAGGACCTCCTGTATCCTGTATGGCAACCCAAATTGGCTCCTGCCCTTAAAATGGAAAGACCTTCGGCAGTAAGGAACAGTGTATTGTTTCAAATAAGGGCAAATGGAATCGGGCTCCGTTGGCATTCTCTTTCAGTGGGGACAGAGCCCTCTCGTCGTCCTCGTAAGTGAGTCTCATCCTACCTAACTTCCTTTGGGGGAAGCTTATACGCCATGAAAACATGTAGGAAGAGTTGTGTTTGTTTCGCCTAAAATTTTACTTTGCAAAATTAGACGTTGTGTTTGTTCCGTCGTCTTCTGAAGAGCTGGTTTTTGTGGATTAGCAGGTTCTCGTTTGGAAACCTCCATATATATAAACGTTGTGTTCTAGATAATACATGTATACGCGGATTAAGATGGTTTTGCTTTGTCACAATACACATGTAAGTGTTGGTAAAGAATAATAGATCATCATCTATGATTAAGGATCAAACTTGCCGCGTAATGATATTTTGCCACTTAAACCATAGCTCATTTCTTGTTATTTGAATACGATAACATCGACTTATCATACTAGAAACGAAATTAACAACTAGAATAATCTGAGACACTATCTAATTTCTATCTCATTTTTTCCCATGTTTAAGCAGTTCAACAATTTAAATGTATTGGCTCTCGTGTTATCACCCATCCAACCCTTTTACGACTATATTTAAACCAAACTTCATCTTTCCTTCCGAACTATTTTGAAATAAAAAAAAAAGTTTTGGGCTACAAATTCCCTTCTCCCATTTTATTCGCTAATTCGAAATTTAAACATTTGAAAGGAATAGAAAAGGGCACGAGATGGGGGCATATATCTCTCCTTCGGCCTGGCTTTTGTATTAGCTTTCTTTCTCGCCCTAATTGCAATTGCTCGAAAAGAAGTAGTAGGCGTATTGTTATTCTCATGTGGCAAGAAACTAAAGAAACAAAAAAGAAAGAGAAAGGTTGTGGCATGGTCTGCCTAGATTCACTAGCTAGCGCTTAATTTGTTAATAAATCTCCTACGAGAAAGCGATTGTTAGCAAACTCTTTATCTTTTTTTAGATAATTTAGTTGAATAGAAATCTAGGATCTCAACTCGTCAAAGTTTGAGCTAACATGTTTTTAGTTTGTGATGTCTGCTCGTTTTGGTGATTTATTGAGCTCAATTAGTGGACTTACTTGATAGTGTTACTAGCGAGTAAAGTCAACTAGTCTCGCATGAGGGAACTGATCTATAGCTTACGAATAGGCTTATTTATAATTAATAAGTTTGTTAGATTATATATCTCGCGATATATATTGTTTTAAGATATTCAGTTCATCATCAAATGTCTCATAAATAGTTATAAAAATAAATTACGTACTATAAATCGTTTAGATACTAAATGCTACTGAATAACATGATATAAAGTAGTGACGAAAAATAATACGATATCCGCTAAGTATATAAACACGGGATCAATAAGTGATGGAAAAATACACTAATATTCATTTTTCTTCCTCGTGCCATTAATCACATGTATCACATTCGACATACAAATATTAGAATATTTAACTTATTAATTATTTTAGAATTTCATTTTGTTGGTTCAACCATTTATGTTGGAGATGAAGCCAAAATCATAATCTAATTGATGAGCCAAACTTGCTCAGAACTTCTTTTATGAGCTGAAAACAAGTCACTATTTTAATATACGAGTTAACTTCAAGCCAATATTTTAGTTTTTTAACACCAGAAAATCAAACTCAAACTTGTTAAGAAACCGATAACCGAGCAACCTACTAACTAGCCCGTGATGAAATTTGTACCTGTAAATAATCCAATAAGAATATCCCATCATATATTTGAGCCATTTGTCCAAGTATTGGAGATCAGCCTTAACCCAATACTTCATGGATCAAAATAAAACAAAACAAAACTAATAATAGCAAGCCCAACCAAAGCCCCAAACAACGCAGGATGAGAGAGGTAAGCCCATATATCAACTCCCCTCTCCACCTTCTCGCCTTCCAACTGCTCGACGAAATTCCCCACTGAAGCCCCTGTCTTGGCCAACGCAGTCGCCAGCTGAGGCACCAGCTCCTTAATCCCAGCCTTGAATTTCCTCGACGGCCGACCCTTCCGCGCCAGAGCCGACGACCCACCACCACCACCACCGATCCCGTAATACCCAACTCTGCATTCCCCATTCCTGTACGCCATCATCGCCGCCAGGATCCCAAAACCCCTCTCCCTAAAATGCGACCTCACAAACGATTCGAAGTTCCTCGGCGGCTTCCGCAGCAGATGCAGCACCGTCTTGCAGCACAGCAAGTACGCGTCCTCGCTGTACGCGCTCGACTGCCGGCCGCCGAACAGCAATTCCCCCCAAAACTCCCCCACGGCGGCGTACGGCTCGTTGTAGTACGGCTTCTCGTTCAGCACCAGGCCCTGAATCGAGATCAGGAGCTGGAGAATCGTCGATTTTCCCGGGATCCACTTCTCGGAGGAGCTTCTCCCTTCCCAGGTGTTGATCAGGCTCAGGCAGACCCGCCCGCTCGCGTAGAGATTCGGGTTGATCCGCATCCCGTACGACCGGTAGCGGACCCACGGCGGCGAATTCGGGTAGTCGGGCGAGAACCTGATGTCGAAGAAGTAGAGGCCGTCGTGGTACGGCGTCCCCGGGCTCCCGACGATGACGGCGGTCATGAGATCGATCCGGTTCGCGTAGACCCGGACCGAAATCGAGTCGGGCAGGTGCTTCTCCAGGATCTTCCATTCCCGCATAATTTTCTTGGGCGCGTCTTTGGAGATGTTTGGGAGGCGATTCTCGTCCTTCTTTTTCGTGGTCAGATAGGAGTGGTCGGATGCGTCGTCCGCCACGTCGAAACGCGGGAATGCGGCGGCGCCGCTGCCTCTGCCGCCGCCACGGAACATCATGGGGGAATTTGACGAAGGTTTTTGGGGGTCTCGCGGCGGGACCCGAGGGGCAGGGAAAGAAACTACGATTGGCAGTGAGGAGAAGACGAGCAGTGGGGGAAATTCGTGTCGTCTCTTAATCTCTTGTGTTTATAAATTATATCTGGGATGATGAGGTTAGGGTAAAAAACCTACAAACAGAGTACCTAATCTTTCCGATGATTAAGAATTACAGTTTGTTAAGGAGTGAATGTCGAGTGATGGTGATCCACGCTAATCATGAGAAAGCCCAATATATATTACTCGGCCCAATTGACATAGAAATAATATCAAGTTCACCAAGGCACTAGCCTGTAAGACGGGCGTTGAGTCTTTTCTAGCACATAATTCGTTTAGTCGTTGTTTAAGCGTGCTTAGATACTGGAAGCAAAAATAATAGTTTGTACATTGCATTCTACAACAATTCAACACTTCAATTCAAATGATTAATAACTTACTTAACACTTAACAATTATAAATATAGCTCACAAGTTCATAGAATTCAGATCAATGGCTCATAAAGTTATTGTACTAGTATAGTAACAACATTGAGAAGAGATTAAGTTTTCAGATGATGTTAAGTTTCCCTTTTAATACTAAAATGCCTAGCTCTGCCCAAATATGCATAGGTGACACCTAGATACTAAATGCCTAGACTCCTAATTTGCTAAGAAACGTCCAAAACGAGGTATTTTGGTGTTGCCTAACGCCTAGGTACACCACGCGTAAGTTTAAGCATGCATCATTTGTTGGAAATGGTGCTACTTATTTGTTGGAAAGTTCGTCATATGATTGCTACATTGTTTGTTCCGTAGGCATGAATCATATTTGATCGCCCGTGTTTATTTGGGATGGAAGCCGAAGTTGGTCGGAGAAAGCTGAATGCCTATGATCGTCGTCATTGTTGTAGCCGAAAATCTTATTCGATCGGTAATTAGGATGCTGAAATTGAATGTGAATGCTACAATTTGGAGGAACCCTTCTTCGAGCCGCCGCGGCCAGCGATGAACTCCTGCATCTTCTTGAATTGCTCCTTCGACATCCCGTCGTAGTAGCTATGCGCCCTTTCCTGATGATTTCAAATCGACCCCGTTACAGCTAGCATTACATCACCAATTATGTGCACAAAACTAAGGAGATAATTACGCATAAATCGTCAGTAAACCGAGGTTGAGGAAACGTAATTTCTTCATTTACCTTTTCTAGAGAGAGAGCAGAGCCTAAGTCCAGTTTCAGCCCGTCATTGATCACGGCTTTGTACTTCAACACCAAGTCCTGATTGTTCTTCAGGATGGCTTCTGCGATTTGCTGCGCTTTCCTCAGCGCTTCGCCTTCTTCCACCACGTGAGTGACCAGCCCCCATTTCTCGGCCTTCTCCGCCGTGATTGGCATTGCTGTTAGTGATGTTTCCCGGGCTCTGTTCGCCCCTGCTAGCCGCGACAGCTTCTGGGAAAGACCCCATGAAGGAAATATTCCAAACCTTAACAAAACCATACAGAAACAAAAGCATAGTTTTGGTAAGTAGCATATGTGTTCGATTTCTAACAGCATATAAGGGTTGTTGGCACTTGGCAAGCAAGGACTACATAAGACCGAATTGATGCTTGCATCGAACCGAATTGATGCTTGCATCGAACCGAACTGATGCTAAGTTAGATTCAGTTTCAACCCAGAACTAGTCATATTCAACGAGTTTTTGGTTGATCTGATCGTCATCGTTCGTTCCTTCGTTATTGGTTTAGTTCCAAACAGGACAGAAATGTTCCCACCGATATTAGCATTTAAGGCCACTAATCGGTTCGAACACCATTTGGATCGAACCGGATCATATACCAAAGTAGAATTCCGCTTCAATTTCCATGATCAAATCAATGTTATTTCAATTGAAATCAGCTCGGGGGACTCAAATCACCGTACTTCCACGTGTGTGGCAATGTCCGTGTTTGTAAAATTGTAGTACCAACAGTCCAACCGGAAAAAAACTCTTACCAGAGCTCAAATCGGTTGGCTGTTAGTAATAACGATATAAAACAGCTCAAATACAATTCAACACAAAATACCCTACTATTTACTTTTAATCTACTGCTTCCATACCATTAAAATCGTTTCTTATGACATGGTCGGAGCTGAAAATCCGTCTTTCAGTTCCAAATTTTGGAAAGAGTACTAAAGCAGCACCGTTCAAAATCCAACTCTCGAAATTCACGGCATTAAACTATAGGGGACGAGTTTGCCACATTTTAACAAGTTTAAGGACTACTCCACCAAATCAAGCAAAACTAAGCGACTCACCAATCACCGCACCACAAAAGAAAACAAATAGCGAGAGAGAGCAAATTATTACCTGGCGTGAGTGTCCATGAACATAGCTCCTCTTGCAGCGACCAAGATATCGCAGGCGAGCGCGATCTCGAACCCGGCGGTGACGGCGACCCCGTTGATCGCGCCAATGATCGGCTTCCGGCACCGCTCCATCTGCGCGACGAGGTCCGTTTCCACGTCCTTCACGTCGCCCTTGAAGACCTCCTCCGCCGCCGTCAGATCGATACCCGAACAGAACGCCCGACCCGACCCGGTCAGGATGATGACCTTGGCGGAATCGTCGCGGCTGAGGGCGCTGGTTTCCCTCGCGAGGCGGACCAGCATGGCTCGGGTGAGCGAATTCAGCGATTTCGGGCGGTTGATCGTGATCGTGACGATCCCGTTCGGGTCGCCGGCGACCAGGATTGAATCTGAGAGATCCATTTTGGTGCCAAATCTTTCGAGGGCCGGAAGGTAGGAAGGAAGATGAGGATTGATTTGGGGAGAAATGGGTAGTTGGAAATTCAGTCTGTAATTTTTCGTTTAAGGTTGGGAAAGAAGCGTCGGGAAGCGTGGGAATTGGGGGAGACGGGATAAGGATTGTTTGTTTTTTGCAGCTGCCGTAATTTTGTCGCTTTCCTCTTCGTTTCTGTGCTCGAAACTGGATAACTGACACGACACACGACTGCGACCTACCGACGTCGTCAGGCGGCCAAAAAGCTGAATATGCTGCCTATATAAAGGAAACATGACAAACGAGTCATCAAACAATTTTCTTGTGACAAAATAGTAGCAAAATTGGTGGATATTATTGACGGGCATAGGGTGAATTGTGAGGGTTTTTTTTTTGAAAAATCATCCATTGACAAGTAGTTGTGTGAACGAAAATACGAGCTACGCCCACCCAAATATACAATAGTTGATGAATTGGGAGAGCTAAATGTGGCTTATGATAGGGGTGTGCAACGGTTCGGTTCGGTCCGGACCGGATCAAACTCATGAGAACCGCGGTCCATTAGTGAAAGACATGTTAGGACCAAGGATCGGACCATTCTTGCATTTGGTCCGGTTCGTTCCGGTCTAAATACGAGCTCGGTCCACCATTTCTTCAGTAATTATAAAATTCATGAGGACCAAGGACCGAACCGCATTTTACTCGGTCTGGTCCGGTCTTAACAACGGTTTGGTCCGGTACGGACCGGACCATTGCACACCCCTACTTATGGATGTGTTTGAATAGGTAAAACCGTTCTCATAAAATAGAAGACATCATTGGGTAAAATTAATTTATAATCATACCACAACCAAAATAAATCAAGATAGCGCAAACTCCTATCTATAATTCTACGAGAAAAACATCAAAATGTGTCATTGTTGGAGACATCGCACGAACAGGTTGGGGGAAACCAATTGCTTGGATAAAATAATTTAATCGGAATCATGGGATGTTTGAAACGAAGCTCTGAATAACAAATGATCTTATTAAGAATTAGTTAAGAAATACACATGAAGTTGAGAATAAGTAGAGCTATGAGATCATGATTTTCTCTGAGAAAGTAGAGAAGGAAAGGAGTTGATTGCGGACCGAAGAGATGTCGAAGGAAGATTGTGCCAATAGAGAATTTTAGAGAAAAAAAGTGGGTGAGTCGGTTATTTTGGTGGACAGACTCGCACCTACCTAAGTTATGACGAATCTAGTTGAAAGCAACTCACATTCATCAACTTCGTCTACCCATATCATTAGTGAAACAATTTTAGTTGAACGATTTTGAATGGATTTGACGGACCACCCATCCGAATACTCATTCCCAGTTGATATATGATTTGTTTGCATCAAAAAATATATTACAACTAGGGAGTTTCTTCCAAACGTCTCCACAACATTGCCATTGTCCATCTTCGGAGCGACATCGAGAATGCAGAAGTAGAACCACTTCACTTCATGACCATCTTGGTTGGTATGGCGGTCCCTCTCCGAAGAGAAAGCAAGTGGGCCTTACTGCCCAATTTTCACGTAACAAGAAAGTCCAGGGCCACGGGGGGAGCAAAATTTCCGGGCAACCCGACAACCGAGCTAGCAGCGAAACGGGCTACGATCAGGTGACTAAGAGGGGGGGCCTTAGTCACATGACTAAGTCAATCTCAGCCCTTCCACCTCATTAAAATTCAATGGTTCAGATTAATCCATTTTAATGAAGGACATTGTAGTAATTATACAAGTTATTTATTTAATCATTAAAATACAAATAAAAATATGTTGGGCCCACTAGAGATTAATTCTCGGCGGTGGCTTTTTAACCGGCCATTTTTGAATTCTACGGCGGTGTTTTCTTACAGAGAGAGAGAGGCGATTCATTTTTCCCGGCCGGCCTTCAACGGTGGCCCCTCGCCAGATCCCTCGCCGGATGCCATGGCCTTCCGCCATTATTTATTCTTTCTTTTCATTTGGGATTTTTCCCAGCGGATCATGGCATTTCTCTATTCTTTCTTTTCTTTGGGGATTCTTGGGATTCTTTTCGTGGGGATTTTTCCCAGCACACACACACACACAGAGAGAGAGAGAGAGAGTTTTTTTTTGTCGGAAAATTTTTTGGTCGGAAAATTTTTCCGGCGAACGTCGTCGCCGGAGAAAAATTTCCCGGCGACATTGCTAATTTTGTGATGTTTGTTGACATATTTTGTAATGTTTGTATGCTTTGTTATTTTGTAATGTTTGTCGTTTTTTTTGTAATGTTTGTAAACTTTGTTATTTTTGTGCACCATGTTTGTAAACTTTGTCATTTTTGTGCACCATGTTCGTAATGTTTTTTTATGTCTAAAAAACACCCAGATTGACTTTGGGAAGGAGCCCCTCTATATAGGGATGGAGCCTCCAAAGTCAACTCGGGTGTTTTTTCCCGTTCGTATGGATTGTCGGTCTAGTTTGTCATTTTTGTCCACCATGTTCGTACTGTTTGTATGTCTAAAAAACACCCGGGTTGACTTTGGGAAGGAGCCCCTCTATATAGGGATGGAGCCTCCAAAGTCAACCCGGGTGTTTTTTCTTTTTGTATGGTTTGTATTGTTTGTCGGTCTAGTTTGTATTGTTTGTACAGTTTATACGTTTGTAATGTTTGTATGTTTTGTCGCTCTAGTTTGTACTGTTCGTATGTTTGTATGGTTTGTATTGTTTGTCAGTCTAGTTTGTATTGTTTGTACAGTTCATACGTTTGTAATGTTTGTATGTTTTGTCGCTCTAGTTTGTACTGTTCGTATGTTTGTATGGTTTGTACTGATTGTAAATCCGGTTTGTATACTTCGTAATTTTTCATAATACCCAAACTACCCCTGCTATTAATTAAATAGCCCTTCCCACTTTTTAACCATTGGATTGAAGTGTCCAGATCTAATGGCTAGGAGGGACTTAGTCAAGTGACTAAGCACCCCCCTTAGTCACCAGATCCGCACTCGCAGCGAAACCGGGCCATGTTACACGAAGCCTGGCCCGTCAATTTGTGGACTTGATGGGCTTTGTTCTCATGTACAATGGTCTCCCAGTCAGCCCGCATAGCAGTTAGAGGGTCATTTTCAGCTTAAATGAACCACTAGTCCACTACTATTCTATCCCATGAAAATTGATCTCCACTTCATAAGAAAATATCATTTCGAACCAATTCTATGGGAGTAATGTGGTGTTGAATCTCCATTTTGTAACCATTTGATCAAAAGTCTGTTCCTTGTCATTAGCCGTGCCTAAGAGAGATTAGTGTTGAGCGATAGACACTAGACAACCCTCAATATACTTGCATATAATTTCTTCTGATAGTATTGGTAAATATGAATCATGAGCATCCTTTCATACCAAATTTGCAATAGAGATGAGTTCGGAGTGTTTATATAAGCAAAGATTAATGTACAATAAACTGAAATAGATGAAATGATGAATTAGACTAGATCAAAAGTTTGTACATTATCATTAGATATGGTCTTAAGAGAGATTAGTGTTTGTCGATAAGCACGACAACCTGCAATGTACTTGCCCAAAAATTATGTAATCGCATACAATATCTTCTTATTGTGTTTTGCACAATTAGCGTCCTTTTACGCCGAATTTGCAATAGAGATTACTTTTTTCCTCCAAAGGCCACATGCATCTCCAGAGGAAAGATAACTGAGATACTTGAATATACAAGACATTTGCAAGTCAGGTCCTAAATAAAAACTGAAAAAGGAAGGGGGAAAAAACGTTGGTCGACAAGTGCACGATCCAAAGATCTGAGTGTCAATTTCGCAATAAAGATGACTTCATAGTGTTTAAACAAACAAAGATTAATGCCCGATAAACTTGAATAGTCCATATTATAACTTCATCAAACACACTGACTCGTCATTCATCGAGAAGAAGTACTTACTATAAGATCGCTCAAAACAGCCCTAGTTCCCACTTGATTCAAAGGGGTAAAACACATTTGGCAATTAGCGTCCTTTTACGCCGACAACCTGCAGTGTACTTGCACAACAAAATATATAATCGCATTCAATATCTTCTTATTGTGTTTTGCACAATTAGCGTCCTTTTATGCCGAATTTGCAATAGAGATTACTTTTTTCCTCCAAAGGCCACATGCATCTCCAGAGGAAAGATAACTGAGATACTTGAAGATACAAGACATTTGCAAGTCAGGTCCTAAAATAAAGACAGAAAAAGGAAGGGGGAAAAAACGTTGGTCGACAAGTGCATGATCCAAAGATCTGAGTGTCCATTTCGCAATAAAGATGACTTCATAGTGTTTAAACAAACAAAGATTAATGCCCGATAAACTTGAATAATCTGTATTATAACTTCATCAAACACACTGACTCATCATTCATCGAGAAGAAGTACTTACTATAAGATCGCTCAAAACAGCCCTAGTTCCCACTTGATTCAAAGGGCTAAAACACATTTTGCAATCAAAAGCTTTGCCTTAGCTTGGAAGTGTTCAAACATCCATGAAAGCAAAAGGAGCCAAGTAGGGGAGACCTAAAGGCTAAGACTATTTATGCTGCCTTCAAGGAAAGGGACGGCGCGACGTCAGGTTGCCAACTTGCCATCACATGAGGAAACCCTCCAAAAGAACAAACAAAGAACCCACAATTCAATCCTGTCCCAGGCAAACAACAAAAGAGGGATATATATCATCATGTCATTTCTCCAATACAGCCACACAACATTGTCAATTACCAGAATCTGATACCTGTTTCCAACTACCAGGAACCATGGAATCAAAAGAGAGATTAGAGAACACAGTGCATCTTTGAAAGAAATTGGATTTTTCACGTGGTGGAAATGTGGCATTTCATCCCACACACATAGGAAAAAAGAAAGTGAAAACGAGAGACGGTGAAGGATTCAGTTTCATCAGATCGATTGAGCGTGTTAAGTAAGGTGACAACAAACACAAGGCCTAGGAAGGATTGGAGTTCGAAAGGCAGACGTCCAACACCTTTCAACTGTACAAACATTGAGGGCAGGAATCCACATTATAGGATCATAGAGTCTAGATGATAACAACGATTTGCGATTAGTTGGGATCTAATATCACGACCATGATATTTGATTCATGGACCGAAATAATCATTCAAGCAACATCGTGTTCCCCTGCAGATATCCCACATACACCTCGAAGAAGTTGGTATTTTATTTTGCATAATGTTGGCTTAGAGTTGTTTTAAGAGAATATCCGTGGAAAAGCACGTTCGAACGGAAAATGTTTTTATACGAATTCAATGTCTTAACTACTTGATCTACGATCTCGTTGGCTTTCATTTTTACTTCTTAATTCTTAAATTTCTGCACCTAACTCGAATGGTAAATGACAAATCTTGAACATCCAAATTTCTTAGTTTTCTTCTCATCTCATGCGGTCGCACCTTCTCTCCTTCTTTGCATCATTGATACCCAAAATCAACCAAGCCATTTTAAGGTCCAACACATAAATTTCTTACTACCATCAACTCCATACTCATTTGGGTGAGCTTAACGATGGACCAATACCATAGTTAGTAAAATACGGTACAGGTAAGTTATGTATAAAATACGTACGGATATTTTACTTCGTCTTTAAACTAATGTTATGCTTAATAGTACGAGAGTCATCAAACGTGATACGGATATTAAACGTATTATACGAGTTTTATACATGTTTAGTACGAGAGTCATCAAACGAACGGAAAAAAATGAAACGTGATACGGAAGTTTTAAACGAATAAAATACATACGGGTACACATACGTGTATTAAACGGAGTATTTACTAACTATGTACCATAATTGGACAGATCCTCTTGATAAAATCTTGAGAAGGGGGAGAAATTAAAAAAAGAAGAAAGAAGAAAGTCTTACGACGTAGGACTCTTAACAGTTCGGTCCAATACAAATGGCCTAACTTTTCTGTTTGTTGATGCGTTCCTCCGCGTAGCTAGCGTGGCCCAAAATTCTCCCTTCTCCCCGTTTCATATTTCTAATTCCCATTAATTATTTCCCAATTAGAAACCTCTTTTTCCCAATTCAAAGTCCCTTTCTTATATTTTCTTTTTGGGCTAGCTAGCGACTGAAGAAACAAAACCAAGGATAGAAAGAAAGAAGGTCAAACAATAATAACATGGGATAAAATAGAAACCGAAAACGTGTGGTGGTTTATAGGGGGAGTGTTTTATGAAACTTGGGCCAAAAGAAAGAATATGTATGGAACAAAGTCTAAAGAATTGAAGAAGAGACCAAAGAGATACGAAGATTAGACTTTGTAATGCAAATGAATTTCATATTCTAACTTAAATTGTTACTTTTAAGCATTTAAATTTTGAATCGTTGTGTTTCGAAGATTGCAGATTTACGTGATCTACGTGAAAGATTAATACCGTTTGTAGCATATAAAGTTCATTCCGACGGACTTAGCTTTGTTTTTGTTATTCAACCATTTCATGCTATGCACTACTTGTGCTCTTTGCGAATTCACTTATGTGAAACCAAAATGAAAAAAACCCGATTGAAATATGTGAAATTGATTGTGACATACTAGTATAATAGAAATGTTATGTTGTGCTTATGTTGCTACAAGTATAAAGTTAGGCTCTTATATGGAAATGCAAGGATATGAGAAAAGCTGGTTTCGTATGTGAACATATACATAAATTTCTCAATCTTGATATATGTTTGTGACACACTAAAAAAACTACTTTTATTATTAAAAAATCGTAATTTATCTGAATTTAACTAGATTTTAATCATATATGTAAGTTTGACTTTGCATCTATGATTTCATCTACCCAACAAAAAAAGATTCTTAGGCTGAATGTCAACATATTCAATTTCAATTCCTTAAGTGTAAATAAAATAAAATTTCAGTATTTCATGTATTAATTCATACAAATCCACACTGAAAAATTACATCACACAACCAAATTTTTTTATGTGGAAAAATATTATAAATAGAGAAACAAACAGAAAACATTGAAAATAACACCCAACAGAAAAGAAAAAAAGAAAGAAGAAAACTCTCTCTCTCTCTCCACACCCATCTTCCTTCCCCCTTTCTTTCACCTTGCTTCCCTTCTCTCACTCTATCCCTCAACCAACAACAAAGCCCAAATGAAATGACCTTTTCTTTCTGGCCTCTCTACAACCGAGCATCCCATTCCTTCCTTCTCTGCCATTCTTAACCCTTCCTTCTCCTCCGCCATTTTTCAGCTGCTTAGGCTCAACCCCTCTTTAGTCCCTTTTCTCCTCTCTTCACATCGAGCTGCTTTCTGGGTCCGTGCAATTGAGAAATGTGGGATGCTTCAGGCATTGATGAATCTGCTTTCCTTATGCTTCAGGCCGTTCGGTCGGAGTGACGGCGGCGGCGGCGGCGGCGGGAAGGAAGGCTTGCTTTGGTACAGGGATGTTGGCAAGTATGGGGCGGGGGATTTCTCAATGGCTGTCGTACAAGCGAATCAAGTCCTCGAGGACCAGAGCCAGATCGAGTCGGGTTCCTTTGGAACCTTCGTCGGAGTCTACGACGGCCATGGCGGGCCCGAAGCTGCTCGCTATGTCTGCGATCACTTGTTCAGAAACTTTCGAGGTCCGTTTTTCCCATGTCGAGAGAATTAAATTTCCCCCCTTTTGCCGATTGGGCCTTTTTTTGGATTTGATTGAATCGATTTTTTTGTTTCCGTCATGTGAAATCCGTGGGACTAATTACACTTTTACTGATCTTGAGCTTACTGAAAAAGGGTAACCTGACTTTATTTTGTATGGTTGACCGTGGAGGTTTTTTTTTTGTTGATCGGGTTACTACTTATTGCCCTTCCATGTATATGTAGCTTAAAGGGTTTAGGTCAGTTACAGAGCTGGATCAGCTTCCATTTGAAGTGTCAAGAATTTGCTGTTTGATTGATTGAGCTTATAGGGTTCCTTTCCTCTGTAGTTAAAGTAGAAGAACTTGATTGATTGATTCTCATGGCACCTGTGTTTACTTTATTTAGCTCATGTGGATTGTGGGTTGTTTACGGTTAGCTTAGTTAGCTTGTTGTTTCTCTCGAGCAATTTGAAATGAATGAATACGGAGCTAGTCTTTCTTACGTTGGCATTCTTAGGTTTTGTGGTAATGCAGCGATATTGGCGGAGAGAGAAGGAGGTGTTGTGACTGCCGACACCATCTCGAGAGCATTTCGAGTCACTGAGGAAGGGTTCACCTCGGTGGTCTCGGAGATGTGGAGCTCTCGGCCTCAGTTTGCTACTGTAGGATCTTGTTGTCTGGTTGGAGTGGTATATCAGCAGACACTTTTCATCGCGAACCTAGGGGATTCTCGCGCTGTATTGGGGAAGAAGGTTGGGAATACTGGTGGAATGGCGGCTATACAGTTATCAACCGAGCATAATGCGAGCCTTGAGGCCATCAGGCACGAGCTTAAGGAGTTGCACCCGGATGATCCGCAGATTGTCGTGCTGAAGCATGGAGTTTGGAGAGTGAAAGGAATCATTCAGGTTGATATTTTGAGTCTTCTTGAATAATGCTTTATTTATGTTTTTTCCAGAAACTCTCTACAATTTGTTTCTTTACTGTAGATATGTCCATAGGAATATGATGTAGGCTGGCTCTTTAAGCTTGTGAAACACCTTACAAATATTGTCAGGATCAACTGAAATTTAAAGCTATTCTAACTGTATATACGCCAATGCCAGAAGTGTTCATATTTACTATGTTGAGTTGCTAAAATTAGGAAGTCTGCCTTTAATACTAGTTAAGTTAGAAACTGTTAACTGTTTGTCAATTTTTTTTCTTTTTGCATTTTGATAACTGAAACTGTTATATCAATGATTCTGACCTATTTCCTAGGAAGTTCTTAGCTCTTGACTCATGGTGGCAGAGGAAAACCCTGACTTTGATGCTCTTCCAGCTTGATAATTCCCAGAAAAGCACATATTTACAATGTTCATTTGCTATAAATAGAAAGTCGCTTTGATGTTCATTAATTTAGAAACTGCTATACGATTGACTCTTACCTATTATTAGAAAATTCTCAGTTCTTGACTCACAGGACTGAGAGTTCAGAACTGAGAACTTGAAAGAGTCAATGCTATAACTGTTTCTATCTGAACTAGCATTAACAACGACTTTCTTTATATAGCAAAAGAACATTGTTGATATGTGCACATTTGACACCTACACATCTATAAAAGCTTCAGCAGAGAGTTGATTTTCCATCACCAATAAAATCGACTGACGATAATATTCGAATAAACACTTGGAGTCAAGGAAAACTCTCTCACTTTTGAAGCTCTCCAACTATATTCTAAGTCCCAAAAAATTGTGCATATTTACAATGTTCTTTTGCTCTGAATAGAAGATCACAGTTAATGCTAGTTAGTCAAGTTAGAAAGTGTTATGTTTATTGGCGCTCACCTTCTGTAAGTCCACAGCTAGCCAATTCCTTTATCTTCCCTTGGTATGCAAGTAAAGGCATCTGTTCTGTTATTTCAGGAATGTATTGGCAGTTGTACCAACAATCTTCTGAACTTTGTCATTGTATTTTGATGTGCAGGTCTCGAGATCTATAGGAGATGTATACATGAAACATGCGCGGTTTAACAGGGAACCAATAAACGCAAAATTTAGACTTCCGGAACCAATGAGCATGCCTATCATGAGTGCCAGTCCCACCATCCTGACTCATCCTCTCCATCCGAGCGATTCATTTATTATATTTGCATCTGATGGTCTGTGGGAACACTTGAGCAATGAAAAAGCTGTGGATATCGTACACAGCCATCCACATGCAGTAAGAACTTTCTTCCCCCTCCTTTATCATGGTTACTCTTGTTTGATCATGCTTGCTTATAACTTGTGCAATGACCTGTTAACATCTTCATATTTGCTTGTCTTAGGCATTGTTCTGGTGAATGTTAACTTAAGAACTGTGAGAAAATTTATCTATGCCAGAACCAAACTAAACAGAAATCCAACCCACCGTAAGCTACTCAATCAATGAAACTTCATGGGTGAATGGGAGTGATGTTATGTGAAACTAGGGTGTTTATAATTAAAAATGAATCACACCTGAAAGAAACCAAACCATCCATATGGCTCGTTATATACTACCACTGAGCTTAAGAATGGTTTCTTGAGTTAGTAAAATCATTAGCTAAGATTATTTTATAATTGTTGTGTGTTTGTTTCTCTTCTAACTTCTGAGTATTTCTTATCGATTCTGCTAGCTTTGTATAGTTTATATTACAAATAACCCTGACATACCAGAACCGAACATTAATAAAGACAATAGGTTTCATTTTTCACGAGGGTTTTGATTACTTGTTAGCTAAATGAAAGTTCATGCGTCGGTAGGTTGAAAAAGGTCAAATCCAACCAAACCGACAATTGTACACCCCTAACTTCGTTGATGATGTTCCGTTTGTGCATTTTTCCTTGATGGCACTCGGCCGTCCCTTGGCTGCTCCTTCATAGATATAACTAGGAACATAACTTTGCTTGGAGGTTTGCTATGTGGTATTATAACTGGCATGACTCGGAACCAATGATGGAACAAGTTTTGTCCCTCGTAACAGCAAGCTCATTGCCTTGTTGCAGGGGAGCGCGAAGAGACTGGTGAAGGCGGCACTCCAAGAAGCAGCGAGGAAAAGGGAGATGAGGTACTCGGACTTGAGGAAGATCGACAAGAAGGTGAGGCGCCATTTCCACGACGACATAACAGTCATAGTTTTGTTCTTGAATCACGATCTTATATCTAGAGGCAGCGTCGTAGATCCTCCAGTCTCCATTCGCAGTGCTTTGGAGCACTGAGATAAGTAAGAAAACTCTCTTCCATCATGTCTGTAGAGCGGCTGTTTCCTGAAGGGGGTGGGGAAAGCCCAGGAAAGAAAATTCTGATACTAATTGCTGAGAATGGACTTTGATCTTCTTCTTTTTTAAGTCCCAGGGAATTTGTATAATCATGTTCAGAGAGGAAAGAAATGGTGAACTTCTTTTAATTGGGTAGTGAACGATTTTTTTTTCCATGTATACCTGGTCCCTGATGTATTCTTCTACTATTATTTACTTCAATGAATCTCTTCCCCCCACGAATTTAGATTAGCTGATGCTGCATGTGTTCTTTGGTTTTATCATGGCTTTAATCTTGTTGGCAGGACCCTTATGATTGAGAATAGTTGGTTCTTGCTTACTGATAGATTTACTTTCTGGAATTGACAGACTCAATTTTTTCTCATGAAATAAGTACTTTTCATTCATTTTCACTAAGTTTTACACAGTTCCATCCATTGCATTCATCCATCTAAACTTCTTTCTACTTCTTCGACGCATCGCTCACTAATCATTATTCTTTGATCGCACTAGACCTTTATCGAGCCAAAACAAATCGTACAACATCAACACAAGGTTGGACAAATACTACATACAAGAGAAAGCATGGAGTTTATTGTAACTCGAATCTAACACCTCAGATTTGCAGTTCTCAATATTGATGGATTAGGAGATTGTTCACTGAATTGACCAAGTTAACTATTTACAACAAATTAACCCAATACATATTATGAGTTATCGAAACTTTGATTTTTAATGAAAATATTTTTAAATTTTAACTAATATGCAAGCCATTTCATATATTTTATCCCAATCTTCAAAACTAACATCTCAACTCATCCAAACAATAATAAAATAAACCTTAATTATTTGTAATGATCGACTTTCTCTAACACATATCCAATCTATATCTAATCCATTTCTCAGACCTAGTCTCTTCCACCATATGCTAATCCTAAACCTCAACGACAAATTTACTAAAAGTACACAACTCTGAGTGCCTTTCTCAATGACCATAAAGTTCAGTGACCATTTTGCAATTCACCACCACAGGGGTATTTTTGTGATTCCATTTCCCTTCCGAAGTGACCGAGCCACTGACCCGAACCAAAGCTATAAACTGACTGCGAGCCGGCGCGCGAGCTACCCGGCGATCAAATCGAAACTCCATTTCCCCTCTTAATGAAATCTTAGTCGACAAATCTGCTGGAGAGAGCGCCATAGCTACAGGGCTTCTGCCGTATTCTCCGCCGCCATGGCCGGTAAATCGGACCGGAGCACGTTAACTCTTGCGTTGATTTCGTTCCTGCTGCTGCTGCTTCTGAGTCGTTCCGACTCGGCGCCTCAACCCTTCCGCAGAGACCCAGGGCATCCGCAATGGCACCACGGCGCCTTCCACGATGTCAGGGAGAGCGTGCGATCCGACGTCCGCAGCATGCTTCACTCTCGAGCCGAGGTTGCTTCTTCTCACAGCCTCTTAATTCAGTTCGTGATGGATCGAAATTCCTCGCCTGTTGATTCTATTCTGACTTGTCTCTTCGCGATTCAGGTACCGTTTCAGGTCCCGCTGGAGGTGAACGTCGTGCTCGTGGGTTTCAATGGCGATGGAGGATATAGGTACAACTTGGATGTGCAGAAATTGGAAGAGTTTTTGAAACTCAGCTTTCCTACTCATAGGCCTTCCTGCTTGGAGACCGGGGAGCTTCTCGATATCGAGCATCACCTCATCTACAATGTCTTCCCTGTAAGCGATTCCTTTACTCTTCGGAGCTTAGGTGTGTATGTTTTACAGATGATGTCAGATTGATGAGTAATTGACTTCTGCAAACAGGCTGGGCAGGCGGAGATGATTGCACTGGAGAAGGCAATGAAAGAGGCCATGGTTCCTGCAGGAACTGCTAGGGAGGTGAGAAATGGAATCTGAATTGAAATTGCTGAGATTGATTTTAGAACTACAATGCTGTGATTTTGGATGAATTTCTGATATGGATACGGTGTATTGTAGACTGATTTTGGAAGAGAGGTTCCGTTGTTTGAAGTGGAGGCGACAGCTGTGGAGGCTGTATTTCAAAAATTCTATTCCTACATTTTTTACACTGAAACCGTGGGGTTCGAACTAAACACAGACCCTGACAGGCCCAGTCCTGCTTCTATCTTCGTGGTTAACTTTGACAAGGTAAGGGTTTTGACGATTTGTGGTGACGGTTTTATGCTTTGATGAAAAACCGAGTCGATGTGTATTGGAATTAGGTGCTTAAGATGTCCCTTTTTAGGATCATGTGTGCTTTTGTTCCAATCTTTCAGTAGTCTTTGACATGATCTGTTGACGAGCTTGCTTCTTTTTACAGGTCAGAATGGATCCTAGGAACAAGGAAGTCGATCTTGATAGTTTCATGTTTAGCACAATTGGTAATTTGTCTGAAGAAGATATGAAGAAACAAGAGGGTGATTACATTTATAGGTATCGGTATAATGGAGGGGGAGCAACTCAAGTTTGGTTGAGCTCAGACAGGTATTATTTGAATGGACGATAAGTGTCCTCTTTCATTTTAGCCACCACGAGAAATGACTCGAGTTCCTAATTCAATTCTTAGCCACATTCTTCACAAGTGATGCTTTTAATCATGTTTCGGGTTCTTCTTTCTTTTTTTGAAAAAAGGGTTTCAGGGTCTACTTGAATGAGCTAGTTGTTTTGATCAATAGCACATCTTCCCAATAATTTCGATATTAATCAGCTGTCTTTACTTTGAGATTAAATCATGTTCTTTTGCAGGTTTGTAGTGGTTGACTTGTCAGCTGGTCCCTGTACATATGGCAAGATTGAAACAGAAGAGGGAAGCGTCAGTACTAGAACAATGCCTCGGATAAGAAATGTGGTACTTTCAAAAGGATCGGGTGCAGGCACCGTCAGTGATCATTCTAGTCATGAGATTTTTGTTGGGCAGCTTTCTTCTCTTATATCAACCACGGTTGAGCATGTTGTAGCTCCAGACGTCAGGTTCTTCAATAAGCCTTTACTTTCATTAAATCTTTATAGTTCATTTCTATCAGATGTAGTTTTGCTGTGAGCTTTATGGTTTATTCTAAGCTATACATTGACGTGAGAAACCGTTTTTGTGTACGTTGATAAGCTTTGAAGAATCTAATGTTGCTTGTAATCCTTATATGTCTTAGGTTTGAGACTGCTGATCTGACAACTAGGTTGCTTATACCAATCATTGTGCTTCAGAACCACAATAGATACAATATAATGCAAGCCGGCCATAACTACAGCATAGACACAACTGAGATTGAGTCAGAGGTGAGTCAATTTTGTTTGGAGGCGTTTTCTTTTGATTTGGCTCAATACTCGAGGTTCTATTGTGTTCTTGAAAACCTTTGGGAATGAATTTTTTTATGGAAACTTTCTTCATCTTTTTTTATAGCTGAGGAAGATGGTTCATAATGAGCAAGAGGTTGTGGTTATTGGGGGTTCACATGCATTACATCGACACGAAAAGTTGGCCATTGCTGTTTCCAAAGCAATGCGTGGTCATTCACTACAAGAGACCAGAAAGGATGGACGCTTCCATGTTCATACCAAGACATATCTGGATGGCGCTATACTCAAAGAAGTGGGTTAGCTTTCACTTCAACAAATTTTCTTGCTTTAAAAAATCTATTCAGTGATGCAATTGTTTCTTGAGTTAGGTGTACGAGGTTACATTGTGCAATCAGCTGTTTGCAAATGGTTTTCTAGTCCTGCTTTTTAGCCTAAAAAACGGGGAAGTTGTTCACAGGATTTTTTTCCCCAGGAGATGGGAGTTGTAGTAAAAACTGTCAAGACCCATATGCTCCATTGACTTTGATTTATTCTTAAACTGCTTCATTACAGGAGATGGAGCGGTCTGCTGATGTGCTTGCTGCTGGTTTACTCGAGGTGGCTGACCCCTCCTTGTCTAGTAAATATTTCCTCAAACAGGTATGCTGCTGAAGTTTATGTCAGAAGAAAACCAAAACTGATTGCATCGTCTCTAGGATCAATTATTGTCATCTCGTTGTATTTTGCTCTCTCATCCGGTTTACATTTCAATGTAACTGAATTGTGTATTTGGGCAGCACTGGGATGACGAATCTGATGGCTCTACTGATTCCATTCTTAAACATAAACCTCTATGGGCTAGTTATGAATTTAACCGTGGAAAGGGAAAGAAGAAGAAGCAGAAAAAGAACGAAAAGAGGAAGCAAGGAGATGTCTATCGGACCTACGGGACAAGAGTTGTTCCTGTGTAAGTAATCCTTGTGCCTGCTCTTTTTCGTTTCTCGTATTGCAGGAAAGCTTCTCCACAGTGTTCTTATTCTTTCTGTTTCTGTTAACCTCTCTTACTAAAAAGCTTAAGATATATTTCTTGTATTGCAGCTTCGTGCTATCGTTGGCCGATGTGGATCCTCAACTTATGATGGAGGAAGAGAGCCTCGTTTGGACTAGCAACGATGTTGTCATTGTGCTTCAACATCAAGCCGATGAAATACCTCTCAGGTTTATGAACTCGAATTCGTAGCTTTGTGTTTCAGTTCAATCCTTTTTTGAAGTTTCACAGAATAACTTCTTTCGCAACAGCTATGTTTCAGAGATTGATAGAAGGACAGCCCTTCCATCTCTGTCGCAGCGTCACATAATGGCTGGCCTCGCCTCCGCTGTGGGTGGGTTGAGTGCCCCATACGAGAAGGCATCTCACGTGCATGAGAGGCCAGTTGTCAATTGGCTGCTTGCAGCTGGATGTCATCCGTTCGGCCCGTTTTCCAACACCTCTCAAACCAGCAAACTGTTACAAGATGTTGCATTGGTAAGACAAGACTAACTCCTTAGCCCATATTCCATTGACTTTCAATCCATACTTATTTGCTTTTGCAAGAAACCCCTTTATGTCTTTGACTCTTTGTTAGTCTTTCTGACTTTTAGAAACTGAAATTTAGTTCTAGGAGGAGGAAAGGGAAACGGTGTTTGGAAATGTTTTTTTTACTTTGGTGATGGAGCTTTGAAACAATAGGGACCAGCATTAGTCAGTTAAGTAGAAGAAGTGTATATATTTGAGGTGTTTTCTAACAGAACCAAAAAATTAGATTGAACAAACACCATCTGATAACAAGATCATAACATTTACTTAACATGGTTTATACAATGCACTTTGAGTATGAGCTCTGAAGCTAATTTTTCATCACTTTTGTGTTTTGGAAGAGGAACACGATCTATGCTCGTGTGGATGCTGCACTTCGTAAGATCCGTGATACATCAGAGGTGATTTTTACTGATATGTTTCATCTATCAGCTTCATACTGAATCCAATTCTAAAGAGCGTTTTCTAAACGGCAGATCGTCCAAGTCTTTGCATCAGAGCACCTCAAAACCCCGCTGGGGGAGCCCGTGAGAGGCAAAAAGAACAAGACGACTACCGAACTATGGTTGGAGAAGTTCTACAAGAAAACAACCAACCTGCCTGAACCCTTCCCACATGAACTGGTTGAACGACTCGAGAAGTACCTCGACGTAAGTAGTCTCTTCTGGGTCAATTACATAAAACCATCATCAACAAATCTTTCATTCTGTTTGATCTTTAACGACTTTGTTACTGAAGTTTAAAATGATTAAGTAAACAATTAGTTTGTCTGCAACGGTCGAGTTTTTTTTTTGTTAAATTGCCCAGATCAATGTTTAGCCTAAACGTATTAATAAAAAATGTACATGTACCCTGTATTAGTGATCTGGATAGTGTACAGGCTTTATGGCGCGCTAGTCGTGAGATTCGAATACTGTTAGAAGTAGAGTTTTCAGTGACTAATTTGCTATTGAGCCCAATGCCACACATTCTAACCTATCGACTCCAAAACCAACAGAATCTCGAGGAACAGCTTGTCGACCTGTCATCTTTGCTGTACGATCACCGACTACAGGATGCACACCTGAACAGCTCAGAAATTCTCCAAAGCTCAATCTTCACGCAACAGTAAGTCCCCATCACGAAGCGATTCTCTCGTTGTTCCATAGTCCAAAGTCGAGACTGCTGACTCTTGTCTAATGCCAGGTACGTGGAGCATGTGTTGTCAAGCGAGAAGGAGAAGATGAAGTGCTGCAAGATCGAGTACAAGTATCCGTATCACTCGTCACAAACTTTCGTCTACGGAGGGATCCTTCTGGCCGGGTTCGTAGTGTACTTTCTCGTCATTTTCTTCTCCAATCCAGTCCGATGATACATTCGATCCACACCATCTTCTCGACCTCTGCTACCAGAACCTGTATTGTGGAGATGTAGTTCATGTGCTTTTAATTATAGGCCCAACTCGGAGAAAGGAATTTTGGTTGAGTTTCTTCTGTGTATCTTATAACTGGCCTTCCCTTCCCATATACAAACTCTCACCATAGCAAAGGAATGAAGGATGTCGCTTAGATTTAGTCCGAGGTTTAGCTACTGAAACACTGTTTTGCCACTTTACAGTTAAGAGATAGTCGTCGTTTTTCTTCTATGTTTTAAAAGGCTTTACGAGGAAAACTCTTCAAATGGACTGATTCCACAAAATAAACCCTTTTGCGCAGCACTCGAAGTGTAGGCAAAATACATCAGCAGGCATTCTAGAACTGTGAAAACGACTGGTGTGAGATTTACAAAACCTGCAATTTAGGTCTCAAACACAAATTAAACAACCAAACATCCTCATAGAATTCATTTATGAGAGATTTGAAAAATTAGATTCGAAGTATGATTAACAAAATTCATCGAATCATCTAAAATTTTGTTCATTTTAATTGACTTTTTAGTTTATTTTGTATCCTAGATTTGAGTTTGGGAGATTTCAAGATATTAAATCCCAGACAAAATTAAGCATCTGCATTTCTCACAAGAAAAAGAAATTAAGAAGTATAGTTTTGCGTGATTTCTGATAGTAAATCGTTGAGTGGTTTCACTTTCAAATAATGCTCTCGGAAGTCGGAAGTAACCAAAACAAAAAACAACAATTGGACGAAGAGAAGTAGAGAACATATCACTCAAAGCGAGTTTACAGGTTCGTGTCTTACTTCTTATGAAGGAAGCTTTTCTATAGAAAATAACTACACATCAATACGGTTTCATCAAATAGACAAAAACATCTAATCATTACAATAACAAACAAGTTTCTCCACGAATCCTAATCACTGAATTGCATTGTCGATCGCCTGCTCCAACAAGCGTCAGTCTGCTCCAACAAGCGGCTCAATTATCACTGATGCAAGCAACAACAAAAGCTACACAGGCAACAGAAGAAATATAGGTGAAACAGCAAAGATAGAGAAATAAAAAAATTTGAATGATCAAAACAAAATAAAATAAGTAGTATCAGACACAGCTTTCTAGGCGGCAAATATGCATCACTAGAAGCTGGGCAACAATTGGCCCAGCTCGCTCGGAGCCCAGTGCATGATCATCATCTACTACCAGAATACTCGACAAAGACACCACAAAAAAAAAAAAAACAAAAAACAGAAACGGCAAACATAATCTAAAGGGAAAGTGGAGGTAGGGGAAAGATCCTCAGCGATATCATGCTTGTAAAGTTTGTCATCAAATTATGCAATCAGGTCTCAAAGATTTTGATAACATCATCGGAAAATCCCCATTCTCCAGATCTAGAACTGTGGAAAGGAAGGAAAAAAAAATCAAGAGGAAAGAAACTGGATAAGGATATGGCAGGGTCAAATTCACTGCGCCCCTGGGAGTTTCTGCTCGAAGGGCGAAGCGACTCAACATCTCCCGCACAATCAATCTCCGCCCCCCGCTCGAAAGAAAAAAAAACGAGCGAAGCAAAACCGCCGAAACCACTGAGAGTTAGGATTCAGGGCCTTCAGGGGGGCATTCCACTGTTAGAAAAATTACACTTCAACTCGGATCAGAATTGCAAACGGAATTGATGGTTAACGAAGAACTCGAAAGACAGTCGTCCATGATGGAAACTAGAAAGGAGATAGAGATGATAGTAGCGGCTTCGTTGGAGAAGGTGAGTCATTGGTGGCTTTTTATACAGGGATACTGAGTTCGCCTGCTGCAGTATGTTAGGGTTTCGAGTATGGGCTCCGGAATGGGCTTATTGACGGGATTAGCTGTGGTGTTCAGGCGGCTAAATTAGTGGGGGCCTTACTCAAGCCCACTGCCGTGTGTTACATTGGGTTGGGCTGATGTGACTTGTAAGCGATTAAATTTAGGATAATGATAGATTTATTAGTCTAAACCTTTTAATTTTTTTTTTGTATCATTCAAACCTATAAAATTATTAATAATTAGTCAAATGTTAATATTCAGTTAGCAATTTTGTTAGTAATATTGACTTGGCAACATGATACTGACTTGAAAGAGACACATGGATGTCAACATTCCAAAATTTTAGTATTTTAACAAAGAAAAAAGTTACAAAATTATTAACGATAACGTAAGAATGACTGATGCTTTTGACGTGTTACAAAACGTTTGACTAATTCTTAGTATTTCAATAGAGTTGGATAAAATAAAAGAGTCCGAAAAGGGTTTGAATAATAAATAGACATTACCCTTAACTTTAACTAGATTATTTTTGTGTTGTTCATGGTAACGGCCAAATTTGGATTTGTTGGTGGTCTGGGCCCAATAAAACATTTTCGAGTCGTATTATTCACGGTGGACTAATTGGGCTGTCGATGGTGGTGAAAATTAGACCTTTGCCAAATGTTTGACTAGGTCCAACTAGATGCTTTTGTCAACCCAGACCATTAATGCCCGACCGACTTCAAGTACTCAACGAAGTGCGTTCTTTGCACGTGTCCAGCTGGCGTGAAACGTAAAAAGCGGGGCAGTGCGTCCAGGTGGCAAAGTGAAACGCGTCGAGTTGGCGCATCCAGTTGGCAGGAAACGTGTACAGCTGGCAAATCACGTGTTCTGATGAACCGACTTCGGACCTCCTTTATGCATTTATAAATAGCAGCAAGGCATCATGTTCCCTCCTTTATTTGTTACCATTGTCGCCAAGAAGCCTCGAACGAAATTAGGAGAAGACTGATCTCTGCTTGGTGCTGCAGTTTTAGGGTTTCGATTCTTCTGGTTTGTTCCTTTTTCGTTTCTCTGTAGATTTTTCGTTTTATCATGCACCGCCAAAATGGTTTCGTTGTCTCTACTCTGTATAGATCGTTCATTTTGGGAATCTAGGGCTCAATTCTGATGGTATTGATGGTACCCGCATAATTACCAAGTACAATCCAATTAGTTGGTGAGATTTTCAGGTGGATGCTAGAAGTTCTTCTCATGAATGATTGTTAGGGTTTGGGTGTGAGAATTTGTGAAAGTCAGCGATTTCTGTGGCCCGAGGTATGCTTCCGTCTGATTTTGCTCTCGCTTCCTATGGGATGGTAACGAGAGGTGAATTGTTCTTCGGTTATCATTCTATCTTCTGCAATAAATTTTTACAGTCCGATGTTAAGCTCATAGTGGGTGGGATGGCATGATAGTTGGAGTTTTTCCAAATAGTTACTTGTCTTGGAAACCCAGTGAGTTGATCGTTATCAATTCTTGGTTGCCCCGTCGATTACTTAATTTGTGGCCCTTAAGGTACATGATTACAGGATCCTATAAAGGAACTTTAGTTGGTCCGAGTTGTTGGATCTTTAATAAGTTGCATGCCAATGGTGTCCTAGAAAGGGAACAATGACTAGTGGTGGTTGCCCTTCTGCCCGTTATCCTTGTTTGAGCTTATAACATAGGGTTGGTCCTAGGAGGGAACTGTGACTAGTCTTGGTTGCCCTTCTGCCTCTTCTATCATTGTGGCGGTGAGTATTAGTCTAAGGTATGTGCCAATGGAGTCCGAGAAGGGGACCTTGTCTAGTATCGGTTGCCCTTCTGCTTCTTCTATCATGTTGGATGGGGTCCTAGAAGGGAACCACCACTAGGCTTGGTTTCCGTGTTGCCTCTTCGATCGTCATGGCGGTTATGTAAGTCTCTAAGATGAGGTATTGGCCAATCAGTTCCTAGAAAGGAACCATTTTTAGACTTGGTTTTCTTTCTGTCGTGCCTATCAGTTGCTCTTGTGCTCCACTTCTTATATTGGTTGGGACACTTTTAAGTACATAACTGAATTTCCATTGAGGGTCCTAGAAGGAAACCAAGGCAGTCTGAGTTGCCCTTCTGCCCCGATGCTATATAATGCATAAATGAGGAGGGTCCTAGAAGGGAACTAAGGCAGTTTGAGTTGTCCTTTTGCCCCAATGATATATGGTGCAAATCAATGGGGGTCCTAGAAGAGAACACTTTTATTGGTTGGGACAAGTACATTACTGAATTTCCATTGAGGGTCCTAGAAGGAAACTAAGGCAGTCTGAGTTGCCCTTCTGTCCCGATGCTATATAGTGCATCAATGGGGTCCTAGAAGGGAACTAAGGCAGTTTGAGTTGTCCTTTTGCCCCAATGATATATGGTGCAAATCAATTGGGTCCTAGAAGAGAACCACGAGTAGTCTTGATTGCCCTTCTGCCTCTTCTATGACTGTGGTGTTGGATCTGCCTCTAAAGTGAGTTGTGTGCCAATGGGGTCCTAGAAAGGAATCATGACTAGTCTTGGTTGCCCTTCTTCCTCTTCTATGAATGCGATGTTGGATCTGCCTCTAAAGTGAGATGCGTGCCAATGGGGTCCTAGAAAGGAATCATGACTAGTCTTGGTTGCCTTTCTGCCTTGCCTAAGAATTTCTATTGCCCCACTTCTTTCGTTAAGACATTTGAACTGTGTGCCAAATTTTAAATGGGATCTTAGAAGGGAACCTTGATAGTCTAAGTTGCCGTTTGCCCCAATGATATAAGTTCTACATCAGTTGGAAAGCAATTCAACGCAAGTTAGTCGGATCATGAATGAAAATGTACTTGGTCTTGTTACTAGCGTCTCCCGCTTATTAGTCGGTGTCTGGTTTGGATAACATATGAAGTAGGGGGTCTAAGGAGAGGGAGACATTTCTGGACTGCCCTTCCTAGACATTACCGTTTGTACTGATTTTGTAGTTCGTTAAGACTTTGAGGCTGAATTGATGGCCTTGTATTGGGTACTCTGTGAGAATGAGATTGTTTAGACAATTCATATTCATCCCTGAGCTTTTCCAAATGTGATGACCTTGTGTTTACATTGTTTCCTCACAAAGCATGATTTCCCAAATCGTATCCCCATGATTAGTCCCGAAGCTTTTGATGGTATTGGATTGAACAATTCCATGTTGTTCATTCAGTTTATATAATTGAAGGTAACTATTTAAGACATGTGATGCTTGTAGTTATTCTCTCTTGGGTGTTATGATGGGGTCCTAAGACAGCTGCCCACCTATCTATTTCTTTACCCTTGACTCGTTTTGAGTGCTTGCTGATGGAGTCCTATCAGGAAACTGTGGCTAGCCCAATATTGTCCTTATGCCCTAACTTTTGTGCTATCCATTCATATAAATCATGTGATAGAAGGAAACAATGGAAGACATGTGTTGCTCCTTTACTTTCGTGATCATTGTGGATGAGGTCCTAGAAAGGAGT